ATGCACAGACAGTAACCCAGAGTCTTCTAGGATAGAAAGGCTTCAAAGAGATGAACCACTACCCAAGGCAGGAGATGCCCACTCAGGGTCGTCCCTGTTAGCCCGTTCCTCTCCTTCCCAACAATGGACATTTCACTAACTGGGTTCAAACAGTAAGGTTTAGGTTTCAAGTCTCTGTTTATGAAACTCTGGAATTCTGAGTGGTGAAATTAGTGGGGCTAGCTCTTCAGAACATTTTTAATGTCTATTCAAGTTGGTCCTGATGAATCAGAGTGTGCAAAATATCTTGAAATTTCTATGGAAAATCTGGTGAGACTGCGGAGCCCATCCCCCATGATGTGCTGGCACCTCTGGAAAAGAGGAAAGGCCGGATAAATTACAGAGTGCATGGGGAGGGTGGGGAGGGAGGCAAAGATAACTGCTGTTTTTCCTTCTACAGAAAACCACACGACAAGGGGAGAAGCCAGACTCTTAAAGTGATCGGAGTGTTTTTTTCTGGAGCAAAACCCTGAGGATGCATGAGGAGGTGTTTGCCAGACTGATGTTGGCAAGCTGTGCGAACCTGAAAAGACCAAAGCGCAGGCAGGGAGGGCTGTGGCCCACAGAGGAGAGGCAGCCCTTTGGTGATGTTGGTGCAGGATCTAAGAGGAGTCCTGCGTTGACAGGAATCAGAGGCTTTTAGCAAAACAGTCATGTTGGGGTAGGCTCAGTCGGTTAGGCTGCCACCGGAGACACTGAAAGCCCATACCGATTCAAGTTCCAGCTACTCCCTCTGTGATCCAGCTCCCTGCTAATGTGCCTGGCAAGCAGCAGAGGATGGCTCAAGTGCTTAGGCCCTTGCCAGCCACATGGGAGGCCCGGACGAGGCTCCTGGTTTCTGTCATTTGGGGAATGAGCTTACAGGTGGGAAATCTCTCTTCCTACATCACTTTGCTTTTCAAATAAATCTTTTTCTTAAACTGCAATTTTCCTACCGTTGTTTTGGACAGGAGATTGTAATGTGTAATGCCCCTGATGGCACCTCTGCTTCCTGCTTGGAGGCTAGCTCGTCATTGTCACAGTGTCTCTGATCACTTTGGTTACTAAAAGCCATCCCCTCAGTAGTAAATAGCAGGCGAGGGCCCAGCTCAGAGCTGAGGGGAGCTGGGTGGGCTGCGCCTGGGGCTAGTCTCAGCCCATCCTGCTCCTGCTCCTTTCCACTGAAAGGTAAGCTCATGGGAGAGAGGGTTTCTAGTTCTTCCTCCAGGCCACTGTCTGCTCGGCTGGCCTCGCCGTTCTCACCCACACTCACACTTCCCTTGACACACGGCTCACAATTTGTGCTGAGGCTGGCGGCCGGGGAGTGGGGAGGGCTTTCCTCTGGGAGGGGGGCCCAATGTCTGAACCTCCCCAGATAGGGGTTTGTAGAGCGCTTTACCCAGACCGCTCCCCGGCCCCCTTCTGCTAGGATTCCAGGTTCACGCTACCCAGTGTGGCTCACACCTGGAGGCAGAATCTGGTGTAGGGATGAGGCTAAGCACTGGAGCCTGCTTCCTGGGCTCCAGGACTGGCAGGTGCCCTAACTGAGCAAGCCTATAGAACTAGATATTCCAGAGGCAGAGGGTCAGGCAGGCTGCAGGGGTGTGGTGGGCTAGGTGCAGCCCTTCTCAAATTGGACATAACAGGGCAGGCCATTTGGTTTCAACATTGCTGGCCCCCTAAGCTGGGACCCACACTCCAGGGATTTCCTCTGTCCACAGACAGTGCGGGAAGCTGCCCAGTGACTAGCTGACTCTTGAGACATCATGATGTTGGGGACCCAATTCCGCCAAGTCCACTGTGTCACAGTCAGTGATCCCTTCAAGCAAGGACACCTGCTGGCCTCTGGGAGTTCTCAGCTTTATATCTGTCCTTGAAACCATGGGTTTAGACACCCTGGGAACCCCGCCAGGTCTGACGGGTGTTGTTTTTGTTAGAATCAGTTGGTAGAGGAGGTTTAAAATCCACATTCCCAGCTCTGGCGGCCAGTCTTAATCATTAGGAATTATGTTTGAAATTATGTAAGAGTTAGAGGGAAAGGAAGGGAAGGGGGAGAGAGAGAGAGAGAGAGAGAAAATCTTGCATGTGCTGGTTCACTCCCCAAACACACCAGCTGGGGCTAGGCTGGGTTTTAGGATCCTGACTTGCAATCCAGGTTTCCCATGTGGGTTGTGGGGAGCCAAGAACTTGAGATACCACCTTCTTCTCCTGGGTGTTCATCCGTAGGAGACTGGGATGGACAGCAAAGCTGGGGATTTGAACCAAGGGCCTCTGATACAGGCTACGGACAGCCCAAGCCGACAGCAGCCCGGCCTTGGCATTTCCGGAAACCTCCTGAAGTGTGACTTCATCAGCAGTGGCTGGGAAGTGGTGGGAGGAGCGCTGATGAGGTGGCCAGGAGGACAGATTTGGGGCAGTTCTTGCTCAGGCCAGGTGCTGAGCTGCTGTAGCAGGTCATGCAACAAGGCCTCAGGTGTGCAGTGGGGTCAACGGGCCATGTGTGCCCAGCTGGAGGGACAGACTAGAGGCTCCGGCAAGAGGGACTAGCCAGAGAGGACTAGCTGTCCCTTGGGATCAGGCCTGCAGCATCACAGTGGGGAGTGCTCAGGTCAGAGGGATGGCTGTATGAGTCTGATTTTACTCACAGCAGCTGTGTTTGGGAAGGTGGGGTGCTGACTCTGCCTTACAGGCTGGGGGCTCCTAGGTCAGCACCTGTTAGCGCGGCAGCTGGGCAAGGCCAGCCACTGTGGAGCAGGCATAGAGACAGAGGGAGGCTTGCTGCCTCAGCAGAACTTCCCTCTGAGGTTAAGCACCCCCAGGACCTAGAGACCTCCCCCCAACTCTCAGACACCAGTTAGCTCAAGTCCCGCCCCCATCCATCAACTGAACAAGAAGACTGACCAGGGGGATTGCTATAGTAGGTGTGGATGACACGAAGGTGTGAAGAGAACAGCTCTTCTGTTTGGCAGGGCCCAGGGGGCTTCCAGCTGTTAGGCAAGGCCCGGCGGATGTCTGACCACCTTGACGCTGTTTCACCCCTAGTTGCATGGACACTTAACCGCCCCGCTAAGAATTCTGTAATCTATTGAGGTATTGTTGTTTGCTCCTGTGAGACAGTTTTTGCAACCAATGTGAGCTTGAGAGTTAATGTCACTGATAATGTCTTGGCGAGTGGGCCTTTGACAATTTACACACAGAAGCACAATTAAGCCCATGCCATATTGGACACCTTATTGGGTACTTAACCATTGCCCCAGAATTTGGCCCAGACATGCAGCACTCCTTCTGGTAAGGGGCTTGAAAATATCCTAAATATTAATGCAAGTGATGGGAGTGAGAGCTGAAACTGCTATGACAATAAATATAATTATTGTTATCTCAAAGGATAGCCTGTCTTTGCAATTTTTTTGGAGCATAGAAAATGTAATTGTTTTAGCCGCTTTTAGAATTTTTAGCTAGAGGAATTAAGGATGCTTTTATTAAAGAAAAATGCTTTTGATTATTGTTTCATTGTTTATAGGGTTGTACAGTCTATAGTTGTAGGGGGATTTAACATTTGAAATTTTTGTTTCAGATTTTATATTTTTTCTCTTGTAACCCATTTTCCCATTAAATGATGGGTCAATTATAGAAGTAGAAATGTGGTAGGCATGTACTACTGATTAGCAGGTAATCGCATGTGCCTTGGAGTCCTGGCTGCCGCTCCATGGCTACTGTTGAAGAATGAATAAAGGCTTGCTTTGAAGAATATGAATACAGTATTTTGCAGAATTATCTTTAGGGTCACCTGCTTAGCCCTGAAGTGCAGACGGAATGACCAAACATCTGTACATGTCCCCTTAGTCTTGAAGTAAAAAATAGAACAATTAGTTGGTTGTGCAGAAGCCTGTGAGGTGTCTGAGTAAATAAAAAGCACAGCTTTTTCTTGAGCTGTTTTGAGAACGCACCAAGTGTCAGTGTCTGTGTCTTTATCGCTGACTCTACTCTTCCCAAACTCCGAACTGGAGCTGGACTCCAGCAGGGGATGTGACTTCTGATGTCCTGTCTTGGCGGGGGAGGCAGCAAGTGAGGCCGGCTCAGTAAAGATGGGGGGCGGGGGGGGGAGTGGTGGGAACGCCTTGTTGAGTGCTGCCCTCTGAAAAACGAGCCACAGCTACTTTCCTGACCAACAGCCACTGCCTGAGCACCCCTCTGCTGCTTCCCTTGCACCCCAGTTAGGTGAAAAGCCTCCTCCAAGCTGAGGCACAGGGCCAGCCACACTGGGCAGGGGAGCACAGGGGCCAGTCCTGTGGCCAGCTGAAGCGTGCTGGAACCTGGGGAGGAGCAACTGGCAGCTCCGGTGGCCAGGGAGCCCCGAGGGGAGCAGGTGAGAGGGCGGTGGAGGCTGACTGGAGCTGTCCAGAGCAGCTGGCCAGCCGGAGGCACCTTTTGCTAGGGGGGCAAGGGAGGGGGAGGGGAGAAGAAGGCTGAGGAGGAGAGCTGAGGCTGAGGAAAGAAGTGGAGGTTGGGGAGGGTCCGGATGGGGCTGACTTGGGAGGAGGAAATGGGGGAGGCTGAGGGAGGCCGAGATGGGGGACGGGAGGTGGCCTTGCTTGGAAGGCCTGGTGTGTCAATGTACAGGCATGGGGGCAGGGCGAAGATTAAGCTCCAGGATCCTGGAAGGCGTTTGCAGCGATCGCAGTGTCCCCTGATGGTATAATGGCGGCTTGGTCCTCTAGCTGAGCCTGGTCCTGAAGGTAAACAGGGATGATCAATGGACAATAAGGAGAGTGACAATGACAGCAAAAAAACATGGCGGCCCTTGTCAACCAGGCCTTTGGAAGCCGAGGGAGGGAGCGGCGCGGGGCGGGAGTCGCCCCTCGCCCGAGTGGCCAGCGCGTCCCCGGGCCTCCAGGCCGCCCCGTCCGACCCGGCCCCGAGGGGCGTGGCCACACACCGCCCCGCCCCGCCAGCGCCCACGTGACCTGTCAGTTCGCGAAGAAGGAGGAAGATGGCCGCTGGGTGTGGTGAGGGAGCCGAGCTTCAGGCCGCGGTCTCTGGGCTTCGCGTCCTGTGACGCGGCTTGTGGCCGAGCCCGTTCCGCCCTGGCCGCGGGCCTGGTCCTTTCAGGCCGCGCTGCGAGACGAGACGGTCAGCGGGGGCGTGGGCCGGGCGGGGGCCTGGGAGGGGCAGGCCAGGGCGGCGGGGCGTGGGCAGCCTCGGCTTCCCCCCGGCTTTGTCCCGGACGGGCTCCCCGCTGCTGTGGGCCGCCGCGCGCTGGCCGTGGACTGCCTGCCTCGGGTTTGGTGAGGTCCGGTTGCCGGGAGGAGGGCCGAAGCCGCACCGGGGCCCCCTGGGGACCTCGCGGCCCAAGGTAGGGGTGCGGTGCAGAGGCGGGGGTGCAGAGCCTGCACACCCCAGGAGCCGTGCTCTTTGTTCTCCCGCCTTCCCAGCGAGGACTGGTTACCCCGAAATCTTGTGACAGTGTCCGGTTGGGGCCCCCACCCCAGGTCAGCGGGGAGGACGCAGCTGGACGGGTGTATTCAACAGGCTTACTGATGCGGGCAGGTCTGAGAAAACCTGTTATACACGCTGGGGGGAGTGGGCTTCCCGTGACTGAGTCCATTTCTCCAATCTTGCCTCCCCCCGCCCCCGGAGTCCTTGCAATTCAGCTCCCCACACCCCAGTGCTCCCCGGCTGGGTGCTGGCCAGAGGAAAGTCTCGGTTTTGCTGGTGGTGAATCTCCAGCCACCTGTGCTCGCATCTACTCCTCGCCATCTGTTATTGCTGGTTGTTCCTGCTCCGCTCAGCCCCATTGCCTCTCCCTTCCTTCCTGGGGGTCCCCCTCTCGCGGGCAAGCTGTGAGATTGCCTCTCCCTTCCTTCCTGGGGGTCCCCCTCTCGCGGGCAAGCTGTGAGATTGCCTCTCCCTTCCTTCCTCGGGGGTCCCTCTCTCGCGGGCAAGCTGTGAGATTGCAGGAAATTGACTTCTCTAGCTCCTGTAGGGTGTGCCACCCCCTTCTTCCAGCTTTGGCCCGAGATGTCAGTTTGTTGGCTTTCTCAGCTGCTGTGATTAGGGTTTAGAAGGCAAGTAACCTGAGGGAAAAGCAGAGTTAGGAGCCACAGGCCCCTGCTTGTGCCCGGAGCTCAGGAGCACCTTTTGTCTGGCTTCCTGTCTGCTCTCCACCTGCTGACCAGCTCTCTCAAGGCTGTGATTGTCTCCGTGCTTCCCAGGGGCCCGCGCAGGAATGTGCCTGGCCCAGCCTATCCTTGTACCAGCTCGGTGATCACGGCTGAGGGCAGGCCTGATGAAGGAGATGTGTGCATGTGTGTGTGTGAGCACATGTGACTATACACGCATGTACGAGTGACTGTATACGTGCGAGTCTGTGTGTACACACATGTGACCATGCACGAGTACATGTGCATGCACACGTGTGCACGCGTAGCTACATGAGTGTGTGCGTGGTGTGCCTGCGTTGTCGATCTCCACTTGTGCTAGCCCGCGGTGGGTTCTGGGGCCATGGGAACACGGGGAGACAGTCCTCGCAAAGCTTCCTCTCTGGCCTTGGCGCTCTCGCTGTGAGTTACTGTCCCACATCTGTTACTGTCTCCCGGCGTGCAGTGCGCTCACTCAGCACTTTTTCTTGCATGTCCCGTGTTCGTTTCCAAACATACATGCCCACCCCTCCTTAAGGGTCAAGTTCACTTCTGTGCTGGAGTGCTGACTCTTCTCCGGAACTGACCGTGCTTGGGCTTCCTCTAGTACTTTCTGCCTCAGACTAGTTTCAGCTCACCTGTCACTATGGCGGGGGCCTGGTCACTGTGATCCTGGCCTTTCACATTGTTTCGGGCTCCTTACCTGGTGAATGCAAACCTGTTATGTCGTAAAATGAAGTAGTGCTGTCATTGATTTACGAGCTTGCTGAAAAATAAGACTGCAGATGTTTAAGTGTGTTCGGTGTGGCTCTCCTGGAGAGTGTCTCCGGTGAGGGCACGATGAGGCGTCGCCCAAGGCTGGCAGGGTTCTGTGCGCGGTGCCGCCCAGCGTCATCACCACCACCTGCCTGCCTGCCTGCACCCCTGGCTGCCAAGTCATTAAAACCCAGCGGGACGGACTGGGGGTCGGATGCGGTTTGCGAGCACACACGAGCTTGGTGGAGAAGGAAGGGTCGGGAATGCGAACGAGCAGAGTTCACAGTAGATCCTGTCGAACGATCGGCAAAGCCCACCGAGGTCCTTTCCTCACGAGCTGTGCGTGAAGTCAAGGTGTTCAGTCCCGGCCCCTCGCGTGGCAGGTCCGCGCTGTGCCTGCCCCATCTCCTTGCCTGCTCACACGGCGTGGGAGCCGTGGCTGCCTCAGCTTGTCTGTCTAACCCGTAGCACGTAGCCTGGCAAATTATAGGTTGCTGATGAACTGCTGCTAAATCCAGCTGGGTTATAGCTGTGTAGGAATGCATGTGTTTTCACATAATTATATGACAAGGAAGATAATGGAGTAGTTCAGAGGACATCTTTTGGGTAGTTTAAGGCAAAACAGTTTCAATTTATAAAATTTGACTATTTTATTAATATGTTCTACTTAACACTGTCGTCAGGAAAGAGCGCCAACCTTCCTGTGCCTGTAGTACATGAAGGCCACGTTTGTCCGAGCCACGTACCAGCCAGGGAGAGACGGTTATGGAGAGTTGAAAGGTTAGGGCTTTCAGTCTTGTTTTGGAAGTTGATGCCCGTAACCACTTTTGTTTGGTGCGTTTGGTGCAGTTTTGTGTAAGAGTGTGGGGACAGAAATCTATGATCCAAGTAAAGGCTTTGGCAGACATTTGCATTTGTGTTTTGAAGATTTTGAAGTAATTTCTAATGTGTAGAACTTAAGAGTAGTATTAAGGGTTCTCTTGGATTTCTCACTCAGGCTTGCTGCTTGTAAAGTGAAGTCTTAGGTTGCAAATAGCTTGTGTGATTATATCCTAGTTAATGCCACGACCATTTATTGACGTGACCAAGCCTTCAGTTTCTAGAGATGAAAAGTTGAGTGAGATTTGATTTGTAGAAACTTGTAATTGAGAGAATTTACTGTAATTTCTCAAAGTGTCCATGAAGGATAGCTGTCCAGGGCGGGACCCAGGAGAGGTGACCCCTGAGCTGGGCCTGGAAGGTGGAAGCTGTGAGACTTGCTGCCTGGCGATGCTGAGCGCTGTCTAGAATGACGCAAAGTGACAGCCGGGCCCTCGTGGTGGGACCGGTGGATGCTTGCGTCCGGTGAGAACTGGCCAGCAGCTCGGTACAGCTGAGCATTGCCAAGGTCAGGGAGGAGCTCCTGGCGGGGCAGGAGGAGGAAAGAGCAGCCCTGTGTCCAGGATGAGCATTTGCGATTCCATTGTGAGTAAGAAGACAGCTTGGAGCTTTGAGCACGGGGTGGCCATGGGGGGGCTTGGGATAGGTTTAAAAACAGTGATTTATTTGTTTGTTTGAAAGAGAGGGAGGCTGTGTGCAGTGACAGGAGTGGGCCGGGCTGAGGTCAGGAACTCCACTGGCTGTCCCACAGGGCTGGCAGGGCCATCTTAGGCTTTTCTCCATGTCGGAGGAACACAGCTGGCCCTTTCACCAGCTCATACAGGGTACTGGTGTCATTGGTGGATACTTAACTCACGGTATCACAGAAGTGTAGGAGTCTGGAGCTGTTAAGTAGTAAGTCAAGCTGCTGCCTTCAGTGCCAGCACTCATGGGGGCAACTGTTCAAGTCCTGGATGCTCCACTTCTGCCCCAGCTCCCTGCTAATGTGGCTGGGAAGGCAGCAGAGGATGGTCCAAGTGTCCTACGCAGATGATAGGGGTCCCAGCACCAGGGCCGTCTTGCGCTGCTTTCCACGGCTGGGACTTGAACCAGAGGGTTCAATGTGGGTGTTGGCCACTCTGTACCGTTTTTTTGGGAAATATTTTTAAGATATATATTTATTTTTATTACAAAGTCAGATATACAGAGAGGAGGAGAAACAGAGAGGAGGATCTTCTGTCCGATGATTCACTCCCTAAGTGAGCGCAATGGCCGGTGCTGTGCTGATTCGGAGCCAGGAGCTAGGAACTTCCTCCAGGTCTCCCACACGGGTGCAGGATCCCAAAGCATTGGGCTGTCCTTGACTGCTTTCCCAGGCCATAAGCAAGGAGCTGGATGGGAAGTGGAGCTGCCGGGATTAGAACCAGCTCCCATATGGGTCTTTAGCCGCTAGGCCATGCTGCTGGGCCCTTGGGAAATATTTTTATGACTACATATTTCATCATTGTCATTTGTATAATTTCCATATATTAAAATTCTCCTTTGTGAAGTGTGCAGTTGTGTATATTGTGTTGTGTGAGTTCTCTCATAGTGAAGATCGAACATCCCCAAACTCCCCAAGCTCCACTGCACCCCATTGTGTGCCTCAAATTCCTCCGTCTTAGATCCCAACGGTGATCTGTGTTCTGTCCCTGTGGCTGTCCTCTTCCAAGATGTCGTGCAAATGGAATTGCATAATAAAATACTTTCTGCACTCTGAGCCCTAAGCCAGGCTCCCCTCTTAGGCGCAGAAGCCTTGTTGAGCTTCTCCCAAGGCCCTGGAGGTCTCGGGCGTTCCGGCTTCAGTCTTGCCTCAGTTCCCGCCGGAGACCCAGCAGCGCAGCACTTGCACTCCGTCGCCTGCCGGGCGGGTGGAGGCCCAGGAGTAGCACGCGCGCTGCCGCAGTTCCTTTCTGTCTGAACGTGCACTCCCCAGTGCGGGTGGGGCAGGCCTCCCTGCTCAGCAGTGCAGGAAATGGAGGAAAAGCAGTTCTGTATGAGTCCTCGGCGATTTTGTGAAGAGTAGCAGTTTTAATTTAATGAGCTGATTTATCAGTTTTCCTTTTGTATGAACCACTTTTGAAGTTACATTGACAAAATCCGTAATCCAAGGGCGTTGCGGCCGTTTTCTTTTGGAGGTTTTGTGCTATTGGACACTGTAATTAGGTCAGTTTTGAGTTTACATCAATATGTGGTACAACTTACTGATGGAGTTGGCTCGCTTACTTATGTTTGGGCACCCAGTTGACTCTCATGCGGTTCTCAGTGTACGTCCAGCTGTGGCAGAGACCGCAGCAAACACCGGTGCTCCTGGCGCAGTGGAGGCCGCGGACGTGAAGGGCTTGGGTGCTCGGGGCCGCTGTGTGGCACATGGAAGCTGCTTGCTGCCTTCACGTCGCAAGCCAGGGGAAGTTTGCTGACAGACAAGGCGGGGAGAGGCCCAGGTGGGGCAGTGCTTGGCATGGTCACACAATGAGCTGGTGAGGAGGTGAGGTGTGACGTCACACGTATAATGGAGGTGCCAGGTTGTGCCAAATGAGTCCGCTCGGCGAAGGGGAAAGCCTTTTTGTTTTTGGTAAATTGTATTTATTTATTTTTAAAGATTATTTTTATTGGAAAGTTGGATATACAGAGAGGAGGAGAGACAGAGAGGATCTTTGGTCCATTGATTCACTCCCCAAGTAGCCATAGCGGCTGGAGCTGAGCTGATCTGAAGCCAGGAGCTAGGAGCCTCTCCTGGATCTCCCACATGGTTTCTGGGTCCCAAGGCCTTGAAACATCCTCAGCTGCTTTCCTAGGCCACAAGCAGACAGCTAAAAGGGAAGTGGAGCAGCCGGGATATGAACTAGAGCCTGTATGGGATTCCGGTGCATGTGAGGCAAGGACTGGCTACTAGGCTGTTGCACTGGGCCCAAGCCTTGTCCTGATTTTGAGGGCTTGAGGAGCCATTTGGGCTTTGAGCAGAAAGGGCTGCAGTCTGACGCATTCACATGCAGTTCTTCAGCCTGCAGATTCCGGGCCCACGCAGACCCAAGTCACAGTCCGGGGCCGGGGCGGGGGCGGAGCCTGGGGCTGTATGGCTGTCCAGGTAGTTCTGATGGCTGTTAACATTTTAATTTTTAAAAAAGATTTGTTTTTTATTTAGAAGGCAGAGTTAAAGAGAGTGAGAGTAAGAGAGAGAGATATCTGTAACGGTCAGAGCTGGATTAATGCACAGCTCGGAGTCAGGAGCTTCTTCCGGCTCTCCTAGGCAGGTGCAGGGGCCCCAGGACTTGAGGCATCTTCCACTGCCTTCCCAGGCCGTAGCACAGAGCTGGATGGGAGGTGGAGCAGCCAGGACACGAAGCCCCTGTGGGATGCCTGTGCTTGCAGGTGGGGAGTTAGCCTCCCATGCCACTGTGCTGGCCCAGGTTTTAATTTTTGATTGACTGTAGGTACAGTATGAGGGTTTTTCTGAAAAATATTTCATTTATTTGTTTGAAATGTGCATACATATAGACAGAGAGAGAGTGCAACAAATGGGTGTGGGCTTCCCTCTTCTGGCTTACCCTCAAATGGCTGTAACTGTCAGAGCTGGGTCAGGCTGAAGCCAGGAGACAGGAACCTCTCAGGGTCTCCCACGTGAGTGCAGGGGTCAAGCACTTGGGCCGTCTTCCGCTGCTTTCCCAGGCCCAGCAGCAGGATTGGAATTGGAGCAGCTGGGACTGGGACTGATGCTCCTGTGGAATGCCGGCACTGCAGGCGGCCTCCTAGCCTGCTGTGCACGTGTGGGCGCCAGCCTGTTCGCATACATACATAAGGTGTGAGATGATCGGTCAGAACAATTGACATATCCTCACTGTGAGTGTGCGAGAGAGATAACATTTCAAATCCACTCTTCTAACAGTTTTGAAGTATGTTGTTAGCACGTGTGGTCATCTTGCTGTCCAGCTGATCAGCAGAACCTGTCTCTCCTGTCTGAGTGAGGCTTTGTCCCCTCTGGCCAAACCCCCCTTGCCTGCCCACCCTGCAGCTCAGCCTCTGGTAGCAGTGATCAGCTTTACACTTTGGAAAGATCCCTCCGCTTCCGTCGTGGGTCTGCTGTAGGGCAGGCAGCGTGGAGGCAGGAGCGAGCAGTTAGGATGCTCATGATGGAGGCAGCGCAGTCAGCAGGTGTGAGATGCATTTGCAGGTGGAGCCAGAAAAGTTTGCTCATGGTTTGAGTGTAGATGTTAAGAGCAAGAGGTTTTGGGGGAATCCGCCTGGGCAGACGGCTGTGAGGTTGGGACAGGACAACATGTGCTCGGCGTCCCCCGGCTGGGCTCAGCCCGGAAGTGTGGGAACCTTGCTTTAAGGTTGAGAATGGTAATGGGTTTGATAGTGGCTTGGGTTTTTCTTCTAGCCACAGATGATGTATATTTTGTTTGATTTGCTTGTAACAGGTGTTGAGGTAAGACCAACAGCTCTCTGTGAAGATGTCGGTTCTGATATCCCAGAGTATCATAAACTACGTGGAAGAGGAGAACATTCCTGCTCTGAAAGCCCTGCTGGAGAAGTGCAAAGACGTGGACGAGACAAATGAGGTGAGGCCTTGCTTCTGGAGGGCAGGTGGGCTGCTCTGCCACAGCGGGCAGAGTTGTCCGCCTGTCGCCGGGTCGGGGTGGGGGCTTCGGGGGCACTCAGTGTCTTTATGGACCAACGGGCAGTTAGGCTGCTGCTGGAGACACGCAGCCTGTATTGGAGAGCTGTGTCAAGTTGCTTCTGTCCCGGCTTCCTTCTCAGAGAAGCAGGCTTACAACCATACACTTGGGCCACCTTCTGGTGCTTTCCCCAGACTTTTAGCAGAGAGCTGGGTTGGAAGTGGAGCAGCTGGAGCTCAGATCAGTGCCCATACGGGGCGATGGCACTGCAGCTAGCAGTTTTATGTGCTGTGCCACAACACTGACCCCGAGCAGGCACTTGAGTACCTGGGGCCCAGCTGCTGTCCCTCCGATGTGTTTACAGAATTCAACGTGTTAATGAACCATCTCCTTTCCGCATGGGGCTTAGAGTCTGTAGGGAAGGAAGGACATAGTCTATTGTAAATCATACAAATAAAATTTAAATTAAGATTATAGACAAGGATTCCTGTAGGTACGACAGCTCAAATATATGTGGGATGGACGTGGTCCAGATGGGTAGAGGGGCAGCCTGTCTTTTCGCTCCATCATACAGGGCTTCTGTTGGCTTTGGTCAGGATTTGGGCCCTTTTCCAGAAACACTGGAAGACACTGAGGAGTTTGAAGCAAAGGACTGAAGGACGATCGATAATTTAAAAAAATTAAATATCCTCCCCAAAGTTGATATACACACTGAGTAGTTGTTAAGTATTTGTGTAGTTGAACTTAATTTTTGTGTATGTTTTTCTCATAGACCTTAGTATGTTTTTATACCTGTAGTATTAATAGTTAGTATTATATTATGGTAATAAAACAGTATAATATACATTATATAATAAAATTATAGTATACAATATTATATAACATGTAATTATGTTATTAATTAGTATCAATTATAGTTAGCATCATGCCACTGTCTTGCCTAGTGCTTCCTAATCATTTACACCATGTGGCATTTATGGAGACTGCGGGTGGTTCTAACTGCTCCTGCAGAGGGGGCTTGCTGTGGAGGGGACCTCCAGGCTGTGCCCGGACCCTGTCCCCCTCCCCAGGGCAAAGGGAGCATGTGTGGTATGAAGGCTGCAAAAGCTGGTTTAATTGGCAGAGTTTTACTTTGTGTATTAAAATTATAAGGAGGACTTCAAAAACCTCTATGATGTGAGCAGGACATCTCAGTTTGGAATCCACCTTCACTTCCCATTCAGCTTCCTGCCACGGTGCGCCCTGGGAGGCAGCAGGGGGGCTCAGCTGGCTGGGTCCCTGTCCCAGGTGTGGGCGACAGAGGCAGGCCTGTGCTCACTGGAGCCCAGCCCTAGCTGGGGGGCCATGTGGGACTGAATCAGCAGATGCAAGATCTTTTTGCCTCTGTCTCTCTGCCTTTTAAATAATAATAAAGAAAGTTGAAATATAACTGAAGTGGCATATGTGAGTATTATGTATACTATTGGTATTATTTATATTTTTCTTTTCTCTAACTACTTTAGGTAAAACATAAATGTGTGATTAAAAAAGCATTGTATGTCATGTTATGCCTGTAAGAGAATTTGAAATAGATATTTGGAGACTTTATATGCATTATGGTAAACAGATCCTAGTATTATGCCTGTTTACTAATTTTTAAATGAATTTTCAGGGTCAAACCAGATTGTTAGTGTTGTGGGAATTTTGAAAAATTTTATTTTTGACTTTTTAACTTGTTAGAAAGCCAGAACTTAAGGTTCAAAGATGTTACTAAATCCCAGAATTGCAGAAACATAATGAGTATTTCTTGTAGCTTCATGAAAATGCGAGTGTGGCGTGGTGAGCAGGGCTTTTCAGTAGGGAGTTCTCCGTGTCTTTTCTCTCGCAGTGTGGCCAGACCCCGTTGATGCTGGCTGCCGAGCAGGGCAATCTGGAGATAGTGAAGGAGCTGATCAAGAATGGGGCCAACTGCAACCTGGAAGACTTGGTATGTGTGGAAATAATGTACTTGGCATTTGTCTGTGCTGCTAGAAGTGATTTAAAAGCCAAACACTACAAATGAAACTTTTAGGTATGACTCTTCTGGGACTGATATGTTATCCTTGTTTCTAACAGAGTAAACACATTTTTAAGACAAAGGTCTCGACTCTTCATTTATGATTTATGTGTTGCTCACAGTGGCTGCAGCACTGTGGGTAACTGATCCGCTGCCCGGAAATACCCCGGCATGGGCTGTGTCGCCGAGTAGATCCTCGTCACAGTAACTCGTGTCCAGTGTCTGAATTTGCTCCAGGGTGGGAGATGTAGTCCTTCCTGGCGTCGCATGAGGCAGAAGTCACCATCTGGGGGGGTTACATTGCCTCCACTTTCCCTGGGATTTTGGAATTTCTCTCAAGATCACACAGTGGCTTTTCTCTTCTTTGAATTTTTTTTTTTGGGAAAGTCAGTTCTACAGAGAGAAGAAGAGACAGAGAGGAAGATCTTCTGTCCGTTGATTCACTCCCCAAAGTGGGCGCAATGGCAGGAGCTGAGCTGGTCTGAAGCCAAGAGTTTCATGCGGGTGCAGGGTCCCAAGGCTTTGGGCCGTCCTCGACTGCTTTCCCAGGCTGCTGGGTTAGAACAGCGCCCGCGTGGGATCCTGGTACATGCAAAGTGAGGACTTCACCCACTAAGCTATGCGCTGGGCCTGACCCTTGTTTTTTTTTTTTAATTGAATGATCATTTGAGTTAAGTTATACTCATGAGTGGCAGTTTGAATAGAGTATGTGCATCCTTTAGGTAAGCTGCCAAGGAGACAGGTTCTGTATCCTGCAGTTGCTAGCTGGCCGCGTGGGCTGACCGGCAGGCTGGACAGCCGCAGGGTTAGCTTTGAGGTCATGGGGATGCGCTCTGCTTCCTTGGATGTGCAGTGTGTGATTAGAGATTGGGCTGGGAGACTGCTGAGCCCCGAGGTGGTGGCACCAGGAGGAAGAGCCTGCTGCGGCTCCACAGGAGCAGAGCGCTCAGGCCTGTCAGGGTGGTAGGGTCATCGGGTAGGTAAACGCCAGCCCGTGTCTGCTCCCTTGGGGATGACGTGCTTGTGTGTGTTTTCAAGGATAACTGGACGGCTCTCATATCCGCATCCAAGGAGGGGCACGTGCAGATCGTGGAGGAGCTGCTCAAGTGCGGGGTGAACTTGGAGCACCGTGACATGGTACGTGCCTCCTGTAGCCGTGTCCTTGCCACGAGCAGGAGATGTGCGTGGAGTCTCGTGTTTATGCATGAGGTAGGGTCATGTTTTTAGGATTTAGCTTGGGGCACTGCAGGAAGTTTCGGGCGCTTTCAAACCCAGATGTTAGAAAATCGCTCTTTTGGAAGTTCTTAGTCATCATTTTCAGTTTATTTCTGAGTTTAAAATTCTGAAATATTCTTGAAGAACAACTCAACTAACATCAGTGTGTTTAGAAAATTGAGAAAATCGTTTCTTGTAGACAGGACTTTAAGAATCTGCATTAAAAGTATACATTGTCATTTATTTTGAATTGTAATTTTCAGAATGTCTGCGTACATTCCAAGTTTAATAAGATGTCATAAGCTGGTATCTTATAGCTGTTATTAGGTCGTGATTTTTGGTAAAAACGACAGTGAAGACAGCAGTGCCGTCTGGTTTACCTCCGTGAGTCAGGCTCCCCTCGTGGGAGGGGCTGATGAAGCCAGGGACTGAGCAGGGCTGCGCCTAGGCCAGGCCGTGGCTCTTGCCCTTGAGATTACACGGGGTTTCAGCTCTGTAACCTTTGTCTTCAAAGCTTGACAGAGTGAGTGACACACTCACACTTTTATAGGAGGACACGGATTGTCATATGTAACCTTTCTGTTGCCCAAAAGAAGTGTCAGTGTCAGTTTAGGGAGAGCCAGTGATGACGTCAGCCACTTGGGCAGAGCTTCGCACGAGCCAGGTGGGTGGCGCCTTCCTGCTCACACGTGAATGACACTCAGGGGGTTGCTGTGCTTGGTGTCCGGTAAAAGGCGCTGTGCCAGAGGAGTGAGTCCCTGGACACTTCTGTGACTGGCCAGTCACCCAGTGAACTCTCGAACAGTCCTGTGGTCTGGAGCCTCATTTGGTTCTGAGTGTAGAGTTGAGAAAAATGAGACCGGAAGAAGGGCGTCTTTGTCCAAAGTGAGTGACTCTGCTGCTGGGCAGCTTGGAAGCTGGTTGGCCATTCCCAGGCTTTCTCCTCTGTCATCCGTGTGTGGAGCAGCAAGGCTGCCACGTCTCGTTGTGCTGACAGAGTACAAGCTTTGGAGTGGCCACGTGGGTTCCCGGGAACACTGGGAATTAGAAACCGCGTGGAGACAGGTGTTCCTGGGAGCTGCATCAGGGCGGTGGGCCTGGAGCAGGACCCCAGTTTGAGCTCCCTCCCTGCCCATTCCTCTCTCTAGGGCGGGTGGACGGCTCTCATGTGGGCCTGCTATAAAGGCCGCACCGACGTCGTGGAGTTGCTGCTTTCCTACGGCGCCAATCCCAGCGTCACTGGTCTGGTGAGTGTTAATGCGGGACTCGTGTGGTATGCACATGGCACACTTTCTTAGCAAATGCTTAAGGCCAATTGTACTTAATTTCACGGTGGACAGAAACTTTCTAGATCTGGTTAGACCTGTTATTAGAAGGTGGTGTCAAGACAAACTGAGGCTTTTTTTCCTTCTGTTTAGTTCTCATTTTTTATCCACGAAAATGTAAGTCATCTTAATTTTTATGACTTTACATCCATAATCTAAAACAATTTTTTAAAGAGACATATATCAAAATACCCTTACCTTTTTTCTGTTGTTTTTGTTATTAATCTTATTTCCCTATCACCCTTGCCTGTTGGCTAGATAATACATGATATGTTTTGAGTCTGAAAGTATGTTTTGCAGGACGTGTTGGGTTAAGGTTAAGTGCTTGCCTCTTGCCAGAGATCTTTCTATGTTTTTGAGATGTGGTGTTGACATACTTTTAGAAACCATTACTTTGTGTCACTCCTACCTTGGCCGATGTGTATTGTGAACATGGACCTAAATGGTTTTATCCTTCCCCCTTCTCTTCCCCTTCTTCCGCCCCCTCCTCCTTCCCCCTCCTCCCCTCCCCTTCTCCTCCTCCTCTCCCTCTCCCCCTTCATCCCAGCAGTACAGTGTTTACCCCATCATCTGGGCAGCGGGAAGAGGCCATGCGGATATAGTGCATCTCTTACTGCAGAATGGGGCGAAAGTCAACTGCTCCGACAAGGTACGTTGGCAGAGGCTGCAGGCTCTCACGGGCGTCGTGTCCACTCCTTGTGTAGGTTCTACTTTGCGGTCATCTCCTGGGACTGCGCTGTGTGGCCTGTGTTGTGTGTGAACATAATTAATACAGATTTCTATCTCGTGGAGGGATCCCTTATGTCCATTATGTGCTGAGTGTCCTGATGTTTCTTAATGTCACACTTGTCATGCCTAAGCAGACAGGCAGAGAGCTGGTTTCCTTGTCACTTGAGCTTTTCTGTTGGGGCTCTTGCTCCAGCTTCAGTCCTGCTGCCTTCTTTTGCAAGCATGACTTTTCTGAAATTCAGGTTTTGTTCTCCTGTGTGAAACACCATCTCGCTTGCCTCACCTTCCCTCGCGTTCCCCCTTCTGCTCTCCCTGTGCCCAAACACCTTGGACTCCTCCTGGTGGCTGGCAGGTTTCCAGCTCCTCTGTTCCTGTGCTGTGGCCCAAGCCCTTCTGGCCTGCCTCAACTCCTGCACTTGCCAGAGACAGCTAAGTTGTCATCACTTGCAGAGAGCTCCCCGTAACGTCGTTCTGTGCATTTGTGAGTCCTCAGCACTCCCCTTACTTGCTGGCCTTGCTCCTCCTTGTTCTGGCAGAGCTGTGTTGGTTTTCACTGCAGGGGGATGCAGCTCGGCTTCCCGGCTGGCTGTGGCCTCCGGGGTCTGTTCTTGTCATTCCTTGCCTTGTACCCTGTGCGTGCTTTTGGATGTCGCTGCTGTCCAGCCTTCTGAGAGCTCTGTCTCTGTTTACTCAGCACCCTGGCTGGGGAGGTCACTGTGCCCTCTGTCCGGTGAGCTCCTGTCCGAGGTGTGCCCTTCCTTGCCGACTCCCTGCTGACTGTCACAGCCCGCCTGGTCCATTGGTGTGCACCCCTGTTAACAGCCTTGTACTGACTGATTCCCACGCCTTTCTCACAATGAAGAATGCGCCTCATGGAGACACGCGGTGCTTTCATTCCGCAGCTCCGTTGTTCTGTTGGGTGTTTTGGCATTGTTGGGGTAATTATGTTCTTTTCAGATGAATGGCAACATAGCTAACTATAGAGTAATGACTATCAGGATTTAGTTTTTGTAACTGGGCTAGAATATAAGCATGCATTTCTTTAGGAAAGCAGTATCACTTAACCTTATGGGGGTGCCGGAAGTCCTCCCTGCCTTGCTCTGCAGAGTCCTCCCACGAATGCGTAGTGCCGTCAGGTGGGAGCACACTGAGGATGGGCGTGGGTTTGAACTCCCTGTGTTTAATGTTTCGTTGCAGAGTATTACATAAAGCAGCAGCTTACTGAGGGGAGTCAGCAGGGCTGTGGCATGTATTCGTGTTGCATTGTGACACTGAGCAGCATTGCATTTTGTACTGTTGGCTAATTCAGACTGACTCTTTGAAGCTGAGGTGTGTCTAAAATGGATGTCCTGCTTTCTGTTGATGTTTCTGATTTCAAAATGCCGTGTCATGAATCTTTATTCTGTCCTTTTGGGCCATGGAAAAATTATATATAACTTGGCATCCAAGTCCCTTCAGAATCAGATATTATGTGACCTGTTCTGTCGCTAGGGCATGTTGGGAAGAAGCTTAGTACCTACGTGTGCAGTGTGAGCCTGTTCTTAATGCACGAGATGCAAGAACAAAGAAGCAAAGGTCTCTGTTCACAGAAGTAGTTAGGCAGGGCACTGGGGAAGTGCAAGGGCCGGTGGGATGGCTTAGGAATAGGGGCTGGGGGATTCACCGGCAGGGCACTGGGAAGTGCAAGGGCCGGTGGGATGGCTTAGGAATAGGGACTGGGGGATTCACCGGCAGGGCACTGGGAAGTACAAGGGCCGGTGGGATGGCTTAGGAATAGGGGATAGGGGAGTTTACCGGCAGGTGAACAGCCAGTGGATATTTGACACAACTGACTTCATCCAGACCTTGAAGGACGAGCAGAATTTATATCCATGGAGATTGTATTCTATGTGGGCAAATGGGAGCCAGAGGCCTTGCATCTACTGGGGTGGTACTGTGCTGCATCTACTGTGCTGAGTGGGGGGAGGCTGTGGCTGTCAGTGAAGTCAGATGCAGGTAGACCTGAACCCTCACTGCAGGCTGAGTGTCTTCCCTGTGGACTCTGGCAGTCCCTGGGGGTGAGTGGAGAGCAGAAGAATGCAGTTGAGTACAGGTTGGCTCAGTGGTATTGGGGAAAAATGGGTGTTTAACAGTGTCCTGTGGGGTGGATCAAACACTGAGAGGTTTTTTTTTTTTAAATTGCTGATAGTGATAGGTTTCTATGTTAATTGATTGAATCTTACTTATTTGAATGACTGTGAGAGAGACAGGTCCTGTATCTGTTGGTTTCCTCATCAGAATCCTGCAATGTCCAGGGTTAGGCAAGACCAAAAACTAGGAGCCTGGAGCTCCATGCCGGTCTCACATGAGGGTGGCAGGGACCCACATTGTGGAGCCAGCGTCTGCTAAGTGCCAGGTCGCATGTAATGGATCCAAGTGAAGCCGAGACTTGAATCCAGGCACTCTGAAACGGGACTTGGCTGTCCCAAGCTGTGGGCTAATTCGAGTGCATAGAAGCCTGGCCCTGGGAACTAATCTTTAATGAAGGACATAGTGGATAAAGCCACTTCCTGTGGTGTTGGACTCTCGTATGGGCACCAGTTCAAGTCCTGGCTGCTGCACTTCTGTTCCAGCTCCCTGCTAATGTGCCTGGGAAAGCAATGAAAGATCCCTCAAGTACTTGGGCCCCTGCGCTCGTTTGGGTAACCTGGATGAAGCTCCTGGCTCCTGGCTGCTGTTTTCAGATGGCCTAGCTCCAGCCTTTGTGGCCATTTGAGGAGTGAATGAGCAGAGAAAGAAAGAAAAGGGGCTATGTGGTCAGTTTCAGTCACCTGATTTTGAGGAATTGGAGTGCTAGCAATTAGGGGTGACCTGCCAGAGAGGAGAGGTGCAGAGTGGCTCCTGGGAACAGGGCACTTGCACAGAGCTGGTTCTCACAGTCACGTAGGGGTATGGGTTTGTAACCAAGTCAACAGTGGTGGGCGCCAGGGACAAAGGGCTCATTCATTATCTGGAGAGCGTCCCAAGGGAAGGGAATCTGGGCAGCTCTGAGAGGAGGTATGTGAACTGAAGATCAGTCAGAAGGGTCAGACAGCAGAACTTACAGAAAAAAGGAAAAGGCCAAGGTCAGGTCTGTAGACCTGGGCTTCCGCACGGCTGGGGAGCCTGGAAAGAGCAGTTAATTCCTGGGGGACTGGAGACAAAGCGTGTGGCGGGGAAGTCTCTCCCAGCTGCCTTGTTCCGTGTGCCTTCCCCGCCTGGACGCAGTGGCAGTGCCTACTGTGCCTACTGCCCAGGCCTTGCCGCCTTCCTGCTCTACCTGGCTCTGCCCTGTGTGCCGTGTGGCAGCCTTGGAACATAACAGCAGCAATGCCCAATTCAGTAACTGCTAGTCATATGTGGCTATTTAGGCTCAAGTTAATTAAAATTAAATAAAAGTAGAAATGTAGTCCCTCAGTCCCCCCACTACATTTCAAACACGTAATAGTGTTCCTGTTAGTGGCTGTTTGTTTGAACCGCACAGAATTACAGCACACTTTCCACACTGAAAGTTGGTTGCACAGGGCTTTGTAGAGAGTAGAAGTTCATACATGTTAATTTCTGCACATGGGTCCCGTGCACTTCCTGGTCCTGTGGGTATTCATGGGTCTCTAAGTTGCCATGACCCCAGGCTGTCCTGCCTCCTGCATGATGGGTGCTCTCACCGGCACTGCAGGAGAAGGTGCTGCTGGCTGAACCGGGGAGGGCAGGCGTGAGCTGCTGCTTATCAGCCGACTCGAAAATCAGCATGAACGCACGCTCAACATGAGCGGCTGCTTGACTGCAGAGCGAAGAAATTGCTCTGCTCATGAAAGCTAAATCAAGCCAGGCAAAAGACATTTTACGCAATGGTAAGTCTTTTGTGCAGGAGAAATAAAGTGGGGGGACATCGGATTTATCTAGGAATAAAGTTATGCTTGGTATGATGGTTATCTAAGAAGAGTGATTGTGTGATTTGTAAAATTCATGTTGGAGCTGGTTTTGAGTATGCTCTGATGATAATGTGACTTTTCTGTGTGTTAACAGTATGGTACCACCCCCTTGGTCTGGGCTGCACGGAAGGGCCATTTGGAATGTGTAAGACATTTATTGGCCATGGGAGCTGATGTGGATCAAGAAGGAGCTGTGAGTATCTTTCTAAAATGTTAAATGTTGGTAATAATACTAGAGATGTTTTTATAATTAGAGATATACAATAATGTATATGTACCTATATATAAATAGAGATATAATGGTATAGATAATTTTGGTTAAAGAGAAACAATGTTTTTTGGTTATGTTCCTAGGAAGATTTTCCTCCATTTGTTATGTGATATCCATTTAGGAAAACAAGCAGTTTCTATTATCTTAAAGAGTATTACAAATATATTTAAATTGGGCCCGGCGCGATGGCATAGTGGTTAAGGTCCTTGCCTTGCACGTGCCAGGATCCCTATGGGTACCAGTTCTAATCCCGGCTGCCGCACTTTCCATCCAGCTCCCTGCTTGTGGTTTGAGAAAGCAGTCGAGGATGGCCCAAAGCCTTGGGACCCTGTACCCACATGGGACACTCGGAAGAGGCCTCTGGCTTTGGATCGGCGCAGCACTGGCGCAGTCACTTGGGGAGTGAACCATCGGACAGAAGATCTTCCTCTCTGTCTCTCCTCTCTGTATATCAGCCTTTCCAATAAAAATAATAAAATAAATCTTTAAAAAATATATATTTAAATTTTGAACTATTGTAAAAAATGTGCTTTTAAGAATCTTTTGCAAGTGAGCATACATTTGATAGGCTGAAACCCTAAGGAAACATTTTTTTTAAGAGAGAGGTTTTTTTTTTCAAGATTTATTTATTTTTATTGGAAAGTCAGATATACAGAGAGGAGGAGAGACAGAGAGGAAGATCTTCCGTCCGATGGTTCACTCCCCAAGTGACTGCAACGGCTAGTGCTGCGCCAATCCGAAGCCAGGAGCCAGGAGCTTCTTCCAGGTCTCCCATGTGGGTACAGGGTCCCAAGGCTTTGGGCCATCCTCGACTGCTTTCTCAAACCACAAGCAGGGAGCTGGATGAGAAGCAGGGCAGCCGGGATTAGAACGGTATCCATATGGGATTCTGGTGCATGCAAGGCAAGGACTCTAGCCCCTAGGCTATCGCACTGAGCCCAAGGAAACATTTTGACCTTAGTATAAATTTTAATACTAGTATGTATTTAATTAAATATTTAATATTAAAACTATATGCTTAGTAAGGAGCTGAGAACCTGAAGCCAGGAGCCAGGGACTTCTTCCAGGTCTCCCACGCGGGTGCAGGGGCCCAAGGCTTTGGGTTGTCCTTGAATGCGTTCCCAGGCCACAAACCGGGACCTGGAGGGAAAGTGGAGCAGCTGGGACTGAAACTGACACCCATATGGGATCCTGGCAAAATGAGGACTGAGCTGCTAAGCTACCCTGCTAGGGCTCAAATCAGATAGTTTTTAATATCAGATGTGGAGTGGATGTTTAACCTCGTGGTTAAGCTGCTTGTTGGGATACTCCAGTGCCTAAGTTCAGGTTCTGGCTCACTTTGGATTCCCGCTTCCTGTTGGTGTGTGTCCTGGGAGCTGGTGGATGACGGCTCTTGCTTCCGGCTTTGTCACTCATTGGGGAGGACTGGAGTCCTGGCCCTGGCTTCCGCCCAGGCTGCGTTGGGCAGTTAGGGAATGAACCAAGAACCAAAGAATAGGCTCTCTGGCTCTCTTTTTGCACCTCAAATAAATTAATAAATACAAAAACACTTTAAAAAGAACAGTAACAAAAAGGATATTACTTATGGAAAAAAGTTCCATTTAAATTTCTTTTTTATATGCCTGCCTTCTTTTTAAGATTTGTCTGCTTATTTGAAAGGCAGAGTGACAGAGAGAACTCTGCCATCTGCTAGTTCACTCTCCAAATGCGTGTCAGGGCTGGGACTGGGCCAGTGTGAAGCAGGGCCGGGTGCTGCTCTGGATCTGCCGTGTTGGTGGCAGCGCAGCACTGGGTTGTCGTCTGCTGCCTTGCCAGGCACGCTAACAGGGAGCTGGATGAGAAGTGGAGCAGCCAGGGCTTGAACTGGTGCTCCCAGATGGGAGCAGCAGCTTAGTGTGGCTCACCAAAATGCTGGCCCCTAAAGTTTTTTCTTTTAAAAAATGGTTTTTTCTTCTTCTTTTTTTTTTTTGTATTTAAAATGGTGCCTCATTTCCCCTATTTAATAAACATTAAAAGTTACAAATCAGCTGTCAAAACCTGGAAGGCTTTGCATTGGTTAAGTCCATCTTGGTGGTTAGCAGTCATGCCTTAGTGTAGGGGCAGCCTGGCCATTTGCTTCTCCTTCAGGCACATCAGAATAAAGTTAAAGGAAATGACATTTATGCTTAAGAACCAGTGAACACAGACTCTTTACCTAATTATTCTGTTGTTTGAAATGGTGTGTAAAGACCTCTAAGAAGAGATGCTACTGCACCTCTGACTGCAAGGAAATAAGAGTATTTGGCCAATCATATTGGACTAATACTTGGCATGACCCAGCCCTGCCTGTTTTCCTTGCTGGCAGAGGCCTTAGTTGCCACCGCCCTGCTGGGTGTATTCTGGCCTCCTGTTCCACGTGCCAGGGCACGTCTTGGGGCACCCACAGCTGCCAGCCCTGTGGTGGACCTCCTTTCCAGCTGGGGTGGCCGGTGGAGAGGCTTATGTCTGTGACAAGGACTGCAGGACTGCACGGAAATTTGAATAGGCTGTGTCATTTGAATTCTTAGAGAATTAAGGTTTTGATCAATGATGGGGATTCATGACATCCAAATGTAAATTTAAATCTTGAGGAACAATAGAATAATGAGCCTAGAGGCAGCTTTGATAATGAGCCACATTCTTTCACAGGTGATTACTGATTCTAAGTCAGAACAACCTAAAACAGCTTTAAAAATTTTAGTTTTATAGATCTATAAAGGAGCAAATATTAGACTTTACTTGACATACCCTATAGCTGTTTTCTTTTTAAAATTTATGTAGAGGGAACAGACCTCCTGTGTTTCATGATGTGATTGTAGGAGTGTAAGGATGTGCCTCGCCTTCCCTTGCTCCTCCCTGTTACATTTCTTTGAACTAACTGTCCTACAGCCATGAAGCCATTGTTTTGTTTTAGTTTTTCCTGCAGATTTTACTGCAAAGATTTCTTGTTTGATTTCACTTTAGGTTGTATTGGTTTATAAGGTGTTTAATTTTGAGTCTGCCTGTCAGCTGTTTTGTTGTAATTCAGAGTGCTAATGGGGGAGCTTGTTTACTGTTGAGTCCAACACCGTCTAAAGAACTGAGTAGTTCTGATGACTCAGGACAGTGAAGGTAGCTTCAAAAATAAAAACATGACTCCTGTCCATTTTCATTTGTTTATATTGTTATTTTGAAATGTAATTCCATTTCATTGCTTATATTGGCATTTTGTTACCAACAGTAACTGTTCATGATGGTCCACCTCTTTAGAGACATTATGTATACGCTGTGGCTTGAACCCTGTGTTTTCCAAGATATGCTAATGGGCTCCTGTTTTCTAGAATTCAATGACTGCACTGATTGTGGCGGTAAAAGGAGGGTACACACAGTCAGTAAAAGAAATTCTGAAGAGGAACCCGAACGTGAACTTAACAGACAAGGACGGGAATACAGCGCTGATGATCGCGTCCAAGGAGGGGCACACGGAGATCGTCCAGGACCTGCTGGACGCCGGCACATATGTGAATATACCTGACAGGGTAGGTCACCTGGCCCGGGCCGTCTGCTGCTGAGGCCGTTCAGGGTTCCCTTAGCTGCTGTCAGCTCCTGTCCAGAGTCTTCCATGTGACATACACTTGTGTTAGAGAGCAAGTTTAATGCCTTCCTTGACACTAAAATTAAAAATGAATCTTTTTAAAAAGGACGTATATATTGTTATTTGAAAGGCAGAGTTATAGAGAGAAGAGACAGAGATCTTCTGCCTGCTGGTTCACCCCCAGATGGCCACAATGGCTGGAGCTGGGCCAGAACAGGGCCAGGAGCTTCCTCTGGTTTTCTCATGTGGGTCCAGAGTCCAAAGACCTGGGCCATCCTCTACTGCTTTCCCAGGCCCATCAGCAGGGCGCTGAATTGAAAGTGAAGCAGCTAGGCCTTGAACTGGTGTCCTTAGGGAATGCCAGCACCACAGGTGGAGGTTAAATGCACTCTACCGTGTCATGGACCCCCAAAATTAATCTTTTTCAAAAATGCCTTTTTGTTGGATAGTTTTGTTACTGCAAACCTGGCCTGTTGCATTAGGCTGTCCCTATCCTTGTCATCTCCTTCTGGAGCTGATGGCTACTCACTGTTCCCGAGGTGCAGGTCCCACCGTTCAACTTCAGAGTTTCAAAATTCTGGCTTTGGGATTGTGGTATAGCAGGTTAAGTCACCGGCATCCCATATGGGCATCATTTCATGTCCCAGCTGCTCCACTTCTGCTCCAGCTCCCTGTTAATGTCCTGAGAAAACAGCTGGGGGTGTCCCAAGTCTTTGGGTCACTGTAAGCACGTGGAAGAGCTGGAAGCAAATGAGCCCAGCTCAGCTCTGGCTGTGAGACCACCTGGGGAGTGAACCCAGCAGATGAAAGGTTTCTCTGTTTCCTCTTTCTCTGTAATTCTAATTTTCAAGCAAAGGAAATAAATCTTAAAAAGAGAGACTATGCTATTTATTTATCCACTTTTCTTCTCTGCTTGTCACCCCTTATCATTGAAGCAGGAGCATTGGAACTGGTTCCATGATGCCTTTAGCTCTTAGAGACATCTCAGAGCAGTGGCGCTCACGTGCATTCTTTGCTTACAGCTGCCTGAGGCCTGCCCTTGTCCGCCCCCTGCTGCCTCTCCAGGGGTGTTGGCAGGCACTTCCATCAGGAGTAGCCGGGACTGGGACCAGGTGTCCTGGTACACCTGCATCTTGATGTATGGCGTGTTGGACCCCTCTGTCCAACCTCCATGCCTATGAAAACTTGGCAGTGAATAATGATGTTTATGCCTGTTGCAAAAATAGCCATTTCTAGTGTTTGAAATCAGGAAGATACAAGTAAAAGTAATTGCTGCTGGTGAATATCGTACCAGGGCCAAGAGACATCCTCATAAGTTAGGGAGAAAAAGTTTGAGTCTTTTATCAGGGAATGAGTCAGTCCTGGACCACTGGCCTGGGACTGTCCAGTGGACTGGAGTACTTGTGGGTGCCTGCCTTAGAGCCATGCTTCTGTCTTGGTTAACTGTGGCTTCAGGTGTACTGAGAGCTTTAGCTCCATAGCTCCTGTTTTTAAAATCCACAGCTGTTGGCAAGCGGCGTTATTCCAAGAGTTTTTATTATCTATTTTGCAAATACTCACTGGATCATTAGCAAGCACAGAATTATTGTATTTAATTTATATTTTCAGTATAAATTTACCTTCATGGAGAATAGTTTTTTTTTTAAAAAATATGTATTTATTTTTGTTGGAAAGTCAGATTTATAGAGAGGAGGACAGAGAAAAAGATATTCCATCTGCTGGTTTACTCCCTAAGCGGCCTTAATGGGTAGAGCTGAGCTGATCCGAAGCTAGGAGCCTCTTCTGGGTCTCCCACGTGGGTGCAGGGTCCCAAGGCTTTGGGCCATCCTCCACTGCTTTCCCAGGCCACAAGCAGGAAGCTGGAAGGGAAGTGGAGCAGCTGGGATTAAAACCAGTGTCCATATGGGATACTGGCATGTGCAAGGCAAGGACTTTAGCCACTAGGCTACTGTGGTGGGCCTGAGAATAGATTCTTGTTCTGGATAATCTTTTGAAATTTCCCTTCATGAGTAATAAAATCATCTGTCTTTTACACTGAAGGTAATTAATATCAAGTATTAATATAATTCATTTAAAATTTTCTCTTAGAAATATACTCTTCCTAAGGAGTTAGAAAATAGAAAATTTGTATTATTTTAATAAATAGTCTCAACAGCTTATTTGTTCACATCAGTTTTGTTTTATTTTTTTGTTTAGAGTGGAGATACTGTGTTGATTGGTGCTGTCAGAGGTGGGCACGTTGAAATTGTTCGTGCACTTCTCCAGAAATACGCTGACATTGACATTAGAGGACAGGTATGTGTGAGTACAGTGAGCTGTCGTGTGGTGGTGCGTTGTTATGTCTGGTCCGTTGTGTGTGTTCACTCATTGTAATGTCATCATGCCAACTGGCCTGTGGAGATACGCCTGTAAACCCTGAGGGATTGATGGAGGACACTGTTATTCACTTCCGTTATTATAAATTTCTGTATTCATGTTAGACGTTGGTGGAAGTGAGCCGTGACGGGTGGTTTGTGATGGTCTGCGCAGGTGCCGCTCTGGCCGTCCGGTGTCTGTCTCCGTCAGCGTGTTCTCCCTGTTTGCTTTGTCGAGACTCTCCTCCATTGTTCTTGTTTTATTTCCTGCTTGTTTTTCCCCCGCTCTGCCTGCCTTTCCTGGGACCTCTTGGTAGCACCAAGACTTCCAGAGACATAGAGAGGATTGATTTTATATAAAGACCTTGCCCAAAGTTGTGAGTTTAATTAATACATCCAGAACTTTAGATTAAAGCAAGCTGTTCTGGGTAGCCCATTTGGACAGTACACAGAGAGAATGCATTTCTGCTCAGTTGTTTTTTATATTTAGCTATAATTTTTTTAAAGATTTGTTTATTTTTATTGGAAAGCCATATATACAGAGAGGAGGAGAGACAGAGAAGAAGATCTTCCGTTCAATGATTCACCTCCCAAGTGGTCTCAACGGCTGGAGCTGAGCCAATCTGAAGCCAGGAACCAGGAGCTCTTCTGGGTCTCCCACGCAGGTGCAGGATCCCAAAGCTTTGGGCCGTCCTTAACTGCTTTCCTAGGCCACAAGCAGGGAGCTGGATAGGAAGTGGGGCTGCCGGGATTAGAACCAGCGTCCATATGGGATCCTGGCATGTGCAAGGCGAGGACTTCAACCACTACCAGGCCAGACCCTATATTTGGCTATAAATTTTTTACATTCAAGTCCATATTTGAATCAGGCTCGTAAATAACATGCCAAATGCTATGGAGAAATCAGCATGGGACCTTTACATTAAAAAGAATGTATTTAGCTCCAGAGTTTTAGTTTGTTTTTGTCAGTGTGTGATTGCCTAGCAGAAGGGTTCAGGTGACAGTCTTGAGGTGAGAGAGGGCGTTACGAAGGCTTCTCAAAGGGGCTGAGCTTGAAGATAGCTTGGCTAGAGAGGTGGAGGGGAGGAAGGCTGGGGTCGGCGGCAAGGGCAGTGGAGCACGATGAGAATATTTGAGAAAATGGGAAATCAAAGACTGTTCTGTGGCCAGTGAAATAGCTCACTTTGGCAGTGGAGTGGGGGTCACTTGGGAAAGAACCAAGATGGAAATGGACTAGGAAGATGTGGCCTTCCTGAGAAGGAGGTTGGACTGCTTCTAGAAGCAGGGGCTCCTGTGAGGAGGTCGGGGCATAGGCAGTGCAAGGCCGTGGCCACGCAGGCAGCCTTCTCTTCATGATCAAAGTCACGATGTCACTGAAAGATGGTTTCTACATCACACCTAGTTACGCTGCCGCCTGCTACTCTGTGTCCGTCCGTTCTCCATTTTAATCAGTTTTTTTTTTCTGTAGTTATGCTTTCCAGGTCTGTGTAGGTAGATTTTTTTTTTCATCTAGATAGGATATGAAGGGCCTGGTTAAGACAGTAGACAATGCCAGGAGAGTGGAGATTAAGAAATTTAAAGTTTGTAACAATTACACTACCTTGTGTTTGGGGACATGAACTCATTAGCATGAGCAAAACTCCACAGGGGTATTTATTCCATATTGCAGATGAGAATTCATGGGTCAGGATGTTTAAGAGCCTTTTCCAGAGAGCTGTCTGTTGATCATTTCTAGTCCAGCGCATGTCCCTGAAACTTCAGAAGTCTAACTTACTTCATTAATGATGTGGAATTGCTACCAGTGCAGTCCTGTACCAGGAATTCTCCCCGCTTCCTTCCTGTGGGATTTCTCAAGGGTAAATCTAAGGCAGATAGAAGCCAGGCATCTCGGAGTGCTTATGGCAGAAACATTGACGGTGCTGTAGATCCGCTTGTAACAGTTTTTAGCAGGTATCTTATTTACAATTACTACTGTTTTTTTTTCTTTTTATCTAGGATAATAAGACTGCTTTGTACTGGGCTGTTGAGAAAGGAAATGCCACAATGGTGAGAGATATCCTGCAGTGCAACCCTGATACTGAAATATGCACGAAGGTACCGGCGACGCTCCTGCTGTGTCAGCAGTGCTGCATGCTGGCTGTGGTTACTGTGGTTGGGGTCAGGGTTATTCCCGTTTCATTGGTGATGTTCCACACTTGTGCATAGCGGCAGCTGTGGCTGTGTGTGCTGCCTTTGAACAGAGGGGGTACACCCCCCAGCTGCCTAACGGATAAAAACCTGACTTTGATACTGATGAGTGGTTGTGAAATGAAAGACACTTTTCTTACTAGTTTTTAAGCAATGTTTTCTTGGGAACATTTGAATTATAGACTTATTACTAGAGTTATATTTCTCGATATGTGTGTTTGTGTGACGTGTGGTAGCAGTGTAGATATTGCTGTGGTAACTCTCCCTCTCTGTGTGCCCAGGATGGTGAAACGCCCCTGATCAAGGCCACCAAGATGAGAAATATTGAAGTCGTGGAGCTGCTGCTGGACAAAGGGGCAAAGGTGTCAGCTGTGGATAAGGTAGGCCGCCTGCCGCCTGGCCAAGAGCTCTTGCTGACTGCATCTGTCTGCCCTTCCTGGGATCTGACCCCATTTTGTGCAGGGAGGGGTGCTGCTGGCCCTGTCTAGGGGTTTCGGTGGGGTTCCAACAGTGTGCTGGGGAGTGGGCAGCCCTGGGTGCTCTTAACGGAGCTGCTGTTGGTTTTCCTTCTGTCACTCATGCCAGTCATGGGGCCTGCCTCTGGCCCCACGCAAGCAGGACGTCCTCAAGGTGGAGCTTGCGGCTCCTGGGGGGGAGCTGGGCGAGGCACAGGGAGGCTCCCGGCAGGCTGGCACTGGTGGTCAGCTCAGCGGGCTGGGCGAGGCACGGGGAGGCTCCCGGCAGGCTGGCACTGGTGGTCAGCTCAGCGGGCTGGGACACCACCACTCTGGCCCCAGTGTTTTCCCTTTTTTATGAAGTTTTAATTTCTTTATGGGAAGGCAGCGTGGTGGACAGGATTAGGCAGCCTATCTCTTTTTATGCTGGTTATCTCCAGCATAAAAGCAGTGTATACTAATGTCTTGTGTTTGACAGAAATGCATTTTACCTTCTGACAGTTTGGGGATAGAAGTGGAAATACAGTGCAGCCTGGTTTAGTTTTGTACAGTTAAGTGGTGGATGAGACATTCAGGATGCTGTGATCAGATGGCATTGGGAAGTGTGAGACTAGAGTCGGGGAGAAATGAGATGTGGGCTGAAGTGTGATCGCTAATGGCCGGGGATGGCAGTTGCCTGGTTGTGACTGAGCTGCTCTGCGTGACGAAAATAAGAGCTGAGGGCTGCACCTGCCTCCCGTGGGGTGTGTGCTGGTGGGGAGCAGAGGGCTGCACCTGCCTCCTGTGGGGTGTGTGCTGGTGGGGAGCAGAGGGCTGCACCTGCCTCCTGTGGGGTGTGTGCTGGTGGGGAGCAGAGGGCTGCACCTGCCTCCCGTGGGGTGTGTGCTGGTGGGGAGCAGAGGGCTGCACCTGCCTCCCGTGGGGTGTGTGCTGGTGGGGAGCGGAGGGCTGCACCTGCCTCCCGTGGGGTGTGTGCTGGTGGGGAGCGGAGGGCTGCACCTGCCTCCCGTGGGGTGTGTGCTGGTGGGGAGCGGAGGGCTGCACCTGCCTCCCGTGGGGTGTGTGCTGGTGGGGAGCGGAGGGCTGCACCTGCCTCCCGTGGGGTGTGTGCTGGTGGGGAGCAGAGGGCTGCACCTGCCTCCCGTGGGGTGTGTGCTGGTGGGGAGCAGAGGGCTGCACCTGCCTCCCGTGGGGTGTGTGCTGGTGGGGAGCAGAGGGCTGCACCTGCCTCCTGTGCGGTGTGTGCTGGTGGGGAGCGGAGGGCTGCACTGCCTCCCGTGGGGTGTGTGCTGGTGTTTTGCTCTACAAGTGTGCACGTTTATCCAGCCTGTTCCTGTTACAGTGTGAGGTGTTTGAGGGCAGGAACTGTTTGATATTCCACCTTTATGTCCTTCCTAGTACCCTGCAGAGGGACTTGGCTCCTGCAGAAAGCTCCGTGCCTGGTCATTGTGCTGTATTGGGATCTAGGAAGAGACATTAGATGAGAAAGAGGAAAAGTAAAGATTGTTCTATGGAAGCCATAGGGAGAGCATTTTCATTTAGTTAGAAAGCACGATGAAAGGGGATCTAATTTGCTGTCTCGGCCGTCTTCAGAAACGTTTACAAAGTCATGAATGGGAAAACACTTTGCAGTTCTCATTTGCATTGTCTATGTGTTGTGGTTGGAGATTCCAACAGGAAAGAAAGTAGCTGTGTGGTCAGGAAAGGAGGTGAAGAGAGAAGGGTGTGTAGTGGTCAGGGGAGGGCAGGCTCGAGGCGAGGAGCCAGAGCTGGAGGGTGCAGAGCACTCCACACTGAGGCCGTGACAGCAGAGGACAGCTGAGGAAATGATGTGAAAGAAAATTCAGGAATGCAGTTGATATCCTCAGACAGTAAATACTTGGGTGGTGGAGAATCAGGAAGTAGCTCATGGCTTGGGAGCAGCTGTGTGGAAAAGCCTGTTGATTCTCCTCATCCAGGGAGTAGAGTGCAGAAATGACCTCTTGTCTAGAGCGGTGGAAGGTGCTGGCCAGAAAGTCTTGGGGTAAGGAGCTGCAGGCAGATTCTGAGGAGGAGACACCAAAGGCGCTATGTATGTACTTCACATGGAAAATAGTGTTACCTTAGAAGAATGAAGATTGTTTTATCTTTAAAAATATCAAAGTTCTAATCTCTTGTCATTATTTACAGAAAGGAGATACTCCATTGCACATTGCCATCCGTGGGAGAAGTCGGAGACTGGCAGAACTGCTTTTACGAAATCCTAAGGACGGGCGCTTACTCTATAGGCCCAACAAAGCCGGCGAGACTCCGTACAACATTGACTGCAGCCATCAGAAAAGCATCTTAACTCAGATATTCGGAGCCAGTGAGTATTGGGTTTATTTCTGACTGAGCTTCTTAATAACAAAAAATCAGAGAAGGAGGCAGCTGTTGAGTGACAAAGGAAGCATTTTTCACTTGCACTGCAGAATGTGAAAGTTGAGCAAAGTTTTGGTTTGCTGTAGGAAGTAGTCTCCCTGTCTGGAGTTCTTTTGCACTGCGTTATAGCGTTCCAAATTAAGTACATTCGGAGTCGTTAAGTCTTAAGACTTGTATAAGCCTCTCACCTAGTTTTCCAAAAGTCTTTCTCTGTAGTGTTTCCCAGGTCTTCTTTGTGCTCTTGGCTACACACGAGCTGTGTGTTGGAGTGTGAGCTGAGCGTTTCTGCTTCCCCAGCCCAGGTTGTGTTCTGCACTCATTACAGTCCTGTCTCTCTTCCTGGGCTCCTTGCCTGTCAGCTGTCCCCTTCGCAACAGTCTCTTAACTGATACGCCAGCCAGATGTCCTGGCTGTTCTGTGACCACTGTTCAGTGGAAGGATATGATGTGTTTCTGATTGCAGGACACCTGTCTCCTACTGAAACGGATGGTGACATGCTTGGCTATGATTTGTACAGCAGCGCCCTCGCAGATATTCTCAGTGAGCCCACCATGCAGCCCCCGATCTGTGTGGGCCTGTATGCCCAGTGGGGAAGTGGGAAGTCTTTCCTGCTCAAGAAACTCGAAGGTAAAGGGCATGTCCCTACAAAGCAAGGCTTTCTGCGTGTGTGCACATGCGTGTTTCCTGAAGAGAAGAAGAGGCTCGTGTAAGAATGTCACATGGTTTACTGACACACGTTCGTAGGGTTTTGCACCCCTCTGGTCGGTCCACGTGGGCAGGCGAGTGCTCCTTCGGAGTCAGAGCCAGTTGTGTGGCGAGCAGCATGTGACAACCTGAGAGGCAGGCCTTCCAGCCCTCCCTGAGCTTGCCCATCTGCGTGGCTCACCTCCTAGCTCTGTCTTGGGTGCACACCTGATGCTGTAGGTGGGAGCCCTGCTTGCTCCTGAAAGAACACTCCGCTCTTCCAGAATGGCTGCCTTCAGCAGAGGAGTGTGGCAGTGTCCCCGTGGTCCTCCCGCACCCAGGGCACTATTGGTTTGTTCGCAGCATCCTCATTGTTCAGGGACAGAGCTCAGCACTGCCCGTAAGGTTTCTCCAAGTCCCCCATTTGGGCTCAGCACACCTTTAAAAACAGTGATTGCAGTAACAGGGCTGGGGGAACTAGAGAACGGTGGTGAGAAGGGGTTTGCATTATTTTTATTGTTGCCCAGTGAGAGAATACATTGGTATTTCTGTAATACAAATCACGGAAAGTACATGGCAGCAAGGTCTAGGCAAATTGATCGTTGGAGGAATTGGTCACTCTCTCAGTTGGAACTAGTGATGAACCCAGATTTTGGCCTTGGCTTCTGAACTGTGTTGGAGGCAGCTGAGAGGATTCAGTGCACCTGCAGTGTGAAGCAGCAGGGTGAGGACCACAGGGGTGGCTGTGCCCATGGGGCCTGAGACATCTGTGTTGGCTGAAGGAGAACCTTGGGTGAAATGGTTCAGCAGCCGCGTGGTTACCATTCATTCAGCCAGTGTTTGTGCTGAAAAGGTGGACCTAGCAAATGGAGTTAACAGCTGTATTTCTTGAAACAGGAGGAGGTTTTCATGCTGCTTTCTTTTTCAGATGAAATGAAGGCCTTTGCAGGGCAGCAGATTGCGCCTCTGTTTCAGTTCTCGTGGCTCGTCGTGTTTCTGACCCTGCTGCTGTGCGGAGGGCTTGGCTTGCTCTTCGCTTTCACAGTCGACCTCAATCTGGGAATCGCCGTGTCCCTGAGCTTCTTGGCTCTCTTATATATATTCTTTAGTAAGTTTTGTGTTTTTACGTTTTCTCATAAATGCAGAAAAATGTGTCAATATTGAAGCAGGACTGTTGTTTACACTTAACCTTCTGTATGAGGAGTCTCCAAAAATTCATGGCAGCAACTTATAAAAAATATTGCATGGGTGTGTGAATCTTTTGGCATTGATTTAAGCTTACCTTTTAATTCAAAATTTCCAAAAATGTTTGAAATACTCTTGTATGAAAATCAGTGATTTGAATTTAAGTCTCTTATTATTTTTAAAATATTAATTTTTATTGGAAAAGCAGAACAGATCTATGGAAAGAAGATGAGAAATAGAGAAAGATTTTTCCATCTGCTGGTTCACTCCCTAAATGATCGCAAAGATTGAAGCTGAGCTGACCTAAAGCCAGGAGCCAGAAGCTTCTTCCAGATCTCCCATATGGTTGCAGGCTCCCAAGGCTTTGAACCATCCTCTACTGCTTTCCCAGGCCACAAGCAGGGAGCTGGATGAGCAGTTGGGACACACACCAGCACCTGTATGGGATACCGGCATGTGTAAGGCGAGGATTTAGCTACAGAGCCATTGCTCTGGGTCCTTAAGTATTTTTTTTTAAAGATTTATTTTTATTATTTTTTTTATTGGAAAGACGGATGTACAGAGAGGAGAGACAGAGAGGAAGATCTTCCATCCAATGATTCACTCCCTAAGTGAGCGCAACAGCCGATACTATGCCGGCCCGAAGCCAGGAGCCTCTTCCGGGTCTCCCACGCGGGTACAGGGTCCCAAAGCTTTGGGCCATCCTCGACTGCATTCCCAGGCCACAGGCAGGGAGCTGGATGGGAAGCGGGGTTGCCGGGATAGAACCAGCGCCCATATGGGATCCTGGGCGTGCAAGGCGAGGACCTTAACCACTTGCGCCACCGCGCCGGGCCCTCTTAAGTATTTTTTAAAGACGGCTTCTCAGTCATCTCTGGTGGCGATCCCTTAAGGATGGCAGTCATAACTATAATTTTTATTTAATCTAAAATCAAAGTTTAAAAATGCAATTCCTTGGCCCTGCGTGGTAGCCTAGTGGCTAAAGTCGTTGCTTTGCATGTGCCGGGATCCCATATGGGTGCTGGTTCATATCCCAGTTGCTACACTTACCTTCCAGCTCCATGCTCGTGGCCTGGAGTAGCAACAGAGATGGCCCAAAACCTTGGGACCCTGCACCTGTGTGGGAGGTCCGGAGGAGGCTGCGGGCGAAGACCTTGGCACTTGAACCTGGACGAGAAGCCATTTTTGTGTGAGGTGTCATCTTCTGATTGTGCTTTTTAAAGCCGTGTTTTGGTCTGTTTACTTTCCGCTTTTAGCAGATCTTTGGATGTGTTAATTGAGAAATTTGGAGGAGAACTTGGGAAGTCAGTGGGACCATGGAAAGTTGCATAAGCTTTGCTGTCATTACTGAATTTTTGACTGTTTGGAGGTAAGAAGCTACCTACTGATTAAAATGTCCTTATCAATTTCAGTTGTCATTTACTTTGGTGGACGAAGAGAAGGAGAAAGCTGGAATTGGGCCTGGGTGCTCAGTACTAGACTGGCGAGACATATTGGCTATTTGGAGCTCCTCTTCAAACTGATGTTTGTGAATCCGCCGGAACTGCCAGAGCAGACTACTAAAGCTTTACCTGTTCGGTAAGTTGGTCTGTTTGACAGAGGTAACTTCCAACATGATTAAGCAAAGTATTTTTTACATTGTATAATTTATAGAAGGGCTGGCATTGTGGTGCACCTGATTAAACTGCCACTTGTGAGGCCAACGTCCCGTTGTCAGAGGGCCCGTTGGAGTCCTGGCTGCTCCACTTTCAGTCCAGTTCCATGCTGCTGTGTCTGGGAAGGCACTTGAAGATGCCAGCCACATGGGAGACCTGGACAAGGTTCCAGGCTCCTGACTTCAGCTTAGCTCAGGCCCAGCCCTTGCAGCGGTTTAGGGAGCAAATCAGCAGAATTTGTTACTCTGACTTTCAATAAATAAAGAAAATCTTAAAAAATTTTTTTTGTATAATTCATCATGTTAAAAAAAGTACCTTGAACTTTATAATAAAATGGATTTACTTATTTATAGAGTTAGAGGAGAGATGGAGGGGGTGTGGCAGGGAAGAGAGATAAATAGATTATCTCCCATCTGCTGGTTCACTCCCTGCATGGCCATGCCAGTCAGGGCTGGGCCAGGCTGAGGCCAAGAACCAAGAACTTGATCTGGGTTTTCCATGTGGGTATAGGGTTGTCTTTTGCTGCTTTCCCAGGCGCAGTTGTGGAGAGCTGGGCTGGAAGTGGAGTTGCCGGGACATGGGTCTGTGCTCACATAGGATTGCTGATGGTGTAGGTGGCAGCTTTCCCCGTTTCACGAATGCCTGACCCCAAAACGGTGTTGGCAGTAAGACAGTTACAAGTTCCTTTGCTTTCTTGGAGTTTCGAAACCTTGCTTTTGAAGGAGGCGTGAGAAGGTGCAGGGTGTGTGCGGGAGCTGCACGTGTGCGTTGCGTGCTGCTGGAGACGGAGCACTGTGTCCTCTGCCCCTTGCTGCAGCTTTCTGTTCACCGATTACAACCGGCTGTCCAGCGTGGGCGGAGAAACCTCGCTGGCGGAAATGATCGCCACCCTGTCAGACGCTTGTGAGAGGGAGTTCGGCTTTTTGGCCACTCGGCTTTTTCGAGTATTCAAGACCGAAGAGACTCAGGGTAGGATTTCCTTCCTTCTGTACGTGGAGGGCTGGAGGATGGCTGAATGTTCAGTTTATTTTCATGAAAGCATGTCTCGGGGGTCAATGTGATAGCTCAATTGGCTAATCCTTCCTCTGCAAGTGTCAGCATCCTATATGGGCGCTGGTTTGTGTACTGGCTGCTCCACTTCCAATCCGGCTCCCTGCCTTGTAGCCCAAGAAAGGCGTGTAGGATGGCCCAAAGCCTTGGGACCCTGCACCTGCATGCAAGACCTGCAGGAGGCTCGGATCGGCTCAGATCGGCTCAGCTCTGGCTGTTGTGACCATCTGGGGAGTGAACCAACGGATGGAAGGTCTTTGTCTCTCCCCTCCGTAAATCTGCCTTTCCAATAAAAATAAATGAATCTGTAAAAAACGAATAAAATAGAGAAAGTAAGATTTTTTTTTAAAGAAAATATAACTTGAATGCTGTTTATCAGAGGCTGAGGCTTAGGTTTAGGACTTTCTAGATCCCTGAAGTCATTTGTTGTGTTACAGGTAAAAAGAAATGGAAGAAAACGTGTTGCCTTCCATCTTTTGTCATCTTCCTTTTCATCTTCGGCTGCATCATTGCTGGAATCACTCTTCTGGCTGTGTTCCGAGTTGACCCGAAACACCTGACAGTGAACGCGGTCCTCATCGCCATGGCGTCTGTGGTGGGCCTGGCCTTGGCGCTGAACTGCCGGACGTGGTGGCAAGTGCTGGACTCTCTCCTGAACTCGCAGAGAAAGCGCCTGCACCACGCCGCCTCCAGACTGCACAAACTGAAAAGTGAAGGCTTCATGAAAGTGAGTGCGCACCGGGTATTTGCAAGCATTGTCATGTGAATTGGCTGCCATTGCCACGTCACTGCTCACTGTCACTGGGCTGTTACAGGGTGTGATATCCAAGCGCCACTAGTACATTTAGTCTAATTTGCTATTTATTAAAGACTTTTTAAAAATTCTTTTTGTTTGAGCAGCAGACAGACAAGTGTGAGAGAGAGAGCATAGTCTGCTCTTCTGGTTCGCTCCCCAAACACCCACAATGCGTAGGGCAAGGCTTTGCCGAAACTGGCAGCTCGGGAGCGCGTCTGCCATCTCCCGGCAGAGGGGGAACAGGGGTGCCGTCGTGGCCGCCTCCCAGGCCCTGTGCTGGTAGGCTGCAGTGAGGCGTGCAGCCCAGGTCCTGCAGTGTGGGGCAACGGCTCTGCTGCCTCTCTGCTCCGGAGGCAGTATGTTAAGGTAAGTTTACAGCACAATTGGGAGGAAAGTACAGAAAAATCCCACCTGTCCCCTGCCCCTGCCCGGGTAGAGCCTGGTCATCAAACCCCTGCACATGTGCTCCATGGTCTACAGTAGGGTGCGTTCTAGACAAACATGATGTGCGCCTGTCACTGGCACCAGACAGCAATGCTCCCTGTTCTGAATCCTCTGCCTCCGCTCCCTCAGCAGCCCCTCCCGCTGGCCCCGCAACCACTGCCCTCATCGTCTCTGTAGTCCCCCTTCTCCAAGTGTCATCTACTGCAGTTGCTGTTTCAGATTCTTTCACTTACAGAAGAGTACACTTAAGTTCCTTTCGTTCCTGTCATAGCGTATGAGCTCATTGGTTTGAGTGCTGATACTCCACTGTCTAGATGTGCCTCAGTGTGTGTATCCATTCACTTATTAAAGGACATCTGTGTTGCTTCCAAGTTGGGATAATTATGGAAAAAGTCAATGTGCACGTTTCTGTGTGAGCATGAAGCTTCAGCTCTTTGTAAAAGGCGAAAGATTGTTACAATCTGAAGAGGAACCAGAGTTTAAGCTTCAGCTCTTTGGGTAAATAGCCCAGAGGCTAAGTCCTCGCCTTACGCCTTACGTATGCTGGGATCCCATGTGGGTGATGGTTCATGTCCTCGCTGCCCCACTTCCCATCCAGTTCCCTGCCTGTGACCTGGGAAAGCTTTGGAGGACGGCCCAAAGCCTTGGGACCCTGCACTTATGTGGAAAGCTGGAAGAAGCTCTTGGCTTCGGATTGGCACAGCTCTGACCATTGCGGCCTCTTGGGGAGTGAACTAGCAGATGGAAGATTTGTCTCTCCTTCTCTGTAAATCTGCATTTCTAATAAAAATAGATGAATCTTAATTAAAAATACCATGAAGCATGTGATAAAAGTATGTAGATATTTGATTGGAAACCACTGATTTGTCTTCTGGAGTGACTATACCTTTTTTTTTTAAAAAAAAAAAAAGATGTATTACTTTTATTGAAAAAGCATATTTACATAAAGAAGGAGAAACAAAGATCTTTCACCTGTTAGGGAACTAGGGAAACTCCCCTGATGGGCCATTGTTCCTGCTGGTGAGCATGTGACTCAGACCTGGGTGCTGGTAAGACCGAACAGAGGACATCCACCTGTCCAGATGTGTGTGGGGTGTTTTTGGAAGAGGGTAGACCATGCAGGGCTAGGCCAGCCTTAGCTCACTGGTAGTACAGGAACCAGGCTGGATTGCGGGGCATGCAGGCTAGATTATCACCCTTGCTGTGGCATGAGTTGGGTATGGGAGTGGACTGGGCAGGGTCAGGCTATAGCACTTAGCAGTGAGAGTTGGGACTGAGGACGGGCCAGGTTAGGCCAGGCTGCAGCATCCGATGGCAAAGCTTTAGATCGTGATGGGCTATGTAGAACTGAGTCAGAGCAACCAGTGGGATGTGTAAGATCTGGGGCTGGGAATAGGCCTGATTGAGGAGCTAAGGGGACGCCCTGACTAGGTACTGGTTAACGCGAGAGCCAGAATGGGGGTGGTGTCTGACTTGACTTGGCTACAGTCTCCCTGGACATGGGTTTGGGCAGGGTCTGGGGCCCGCTAGACTGGGTTATACTCCAGCATCTGTTGGTGCTTGTGAGAGTCAGAGTGGGTGTAGGACTGGCTGGGCTAGGTTTCGGCTCCCATTGGGCCACATGAGGACTGCGTTGGGGCGTGTACCAGGACTGGATGGGCTGTAACATGCAACAATAACAACCAGGTTGGATATGGTCCAGTTGGGCAAGACCACTGTTCCTGCCAGGACAGGAGGTGGACTAAGTCAGTCCGGGCTAAGGACCCATCAATGTGCCAGATCTGCCACTGACAGGAGACCTGAGAGAGGAACTTGGGAAACTCCCTTGTTGGGGTGCAGTCTCTGCAGGTGGGCACAAAAACCAAAGCAAGGAGCAGCTCAGAGCAGACCAGGTTATAGTACCTGCTGGCATACATGTGGCTCAGGTATGGCGGCGGGCCTGGCTGGACCAGTTCATAACACCCACTGGCAGATCTGAGAACCGGGATGGGGTGTGGGATAGGCTAGGTCTGGCCACCTCACCAGTCAGTTCACATTAGGGCCGGGACTGGGGGCTAACTGCACCGGGTTGGGCAGCAGCCCCAGCCAGTGCAAGCTGGAACAGGGGCAGACCAGGCTGGGCTAGGCTGTAGCACCCACCAGCAAATGCGGAGGTGAGACAGGCTACATTAGACTAGACCCCTGCATCTACCAGCACATGTGAGACTGGGGCAAGAGGGTGAGCCTGGTAGGGCAAGAGTGGGAACTCCCCTGCTGGGCCACTGGTCAGGCTGGAGAGTATGGGAGCTAGAACTGGGGGCAGACAGGCTGGGTAGGGCTACAACACCTGTTGGCATACATGGGAAGTGGGTTAGGGATAGAACCAGGCTGGGGTATCCAGTTACATCCACTGGTACAGGTATGAGCCAGAATAAGAGCAGGCAGGTTGGGCTTTGCTGCAGCATCAACTGGCAGGTGGTAGGACTGGAGGAAAGTCCTGTCGAGCTAGACTATAGAACCACCTGAGGAGTGCAATATCCAGGACAGGGAGTGGGCACCTCTCTGATCAGCTGCAACTCCCATTAGTGAGCATGAAAACCAGGATTGGGGCGGGCCTGGTTAGACAGGCAGTGGCAGCCACTGGCATGAGTGTGGGCTGGAGGATGGAGTCGGTTGGGTTGAGTTAGGCTTTAATGCCCAATTATGTATGAGATCCCAATGGGATTTGGGGCAGACTGGTTCACTGCACATGCTGGCAGGCACAGAAACCAGAGGCTAGACCAGTGCGGGGTTCCTGGGGGTTGCTCTGACCGGGCTGCAGCTTCCCCTGTGGTATGTGAGGGCCGAGTGTGAGTTGGGCATGGCTGGGCTGGGCTGCAGCGCCCAGCTGATTGCATTCGTGGTGATATGTAGTGTGGAGCATGTGTTTATCTGCCATCTAGATGTCCTTGGTGAAGTACCGGTTAGAGTCTTTTTTTTTCCTTGAGTTACATTTTTTAAAATTATTTTGACAGTCTTGACATAATTAGGGTAAAAAGGTTCAAGTGCTACAGGAAGATGGGCAAGACAATTAGTTCCGTATTGTTTCCTTAATATATCTGATGTAAAAGGGGATTTTAAGGGAGAAGCCCCACCCAGTCTCCCACCCGCCCCAGGTCCTGGATGTGGGGTACGCTCCGAGGGTCTTGATCAAGGGTTTTGATAGTTCAACAGTTCTGAATTGCTGCCACTCGCACGGTTAGAGTCTTAGTATGAAACATACACAGGACCTATCTAGAACTTCGTCAAAGTCTTTCTGAAAATAATGTAACTACTCCTACTCTTTATTGGTTGGTGTTAGTGTGGTGTATCTTTCTTATCTATTTATGTTTAATCTATCTCTGTCTTTGTATTTAAAGTGGGTTTCTTGTAGGCAACCTACAGTTGGAGCCATTCTGACAGTCACTATCGGTTAATGTGTTTAGACTGCTCACTTTTGGGGTGATTTTTACTCTATAGTGGTACCTGCCATGTCTAGTACTGGTTTCTCTTTGTTGCTCTTGTTCTTTGTTTCTGTGCCTTTTGTGGATTGAATGAAACATTTTTATAAGATTCCATTTTCTGATCTTTTTTAGCATATTAATTGTACCTTGTTTTCAGGTTTTTTAGTGGTCACTCTAGAGTTTGCCAGACTGTTCTAACAATCAGAATTCCGTTCAAGCAGTGTCACTCCGCTTCAAGTGGTGCTGTTTCAGAGGTTTAACATGCACTTCACAGTAATAATGTACCCACAGTTACTTCTAGTTTTATTCCAGATTTCTTCATGTGGAAATACATATTTGAAATGAAAAACATGTAACAATAGCATGTTTTATAAAATTGACTTTTAAAGGATGCTCAAGAGTGTGAGCAGGTAGTAGGTTATTACCTATTTTATAGGCTCCTCTAGAACTTGAGTGAAGTAAGCAGATGTGTTGGGAGAGAAGATAGTGAATTGAATCACCAGTGCGTGATTGTCCTTATGCATGGGAATGTCCTTATGAACTAAAAGGGCCTTTGTAGCGATCTGTAGCCCCTGCTTTGAACAAGGACCCTGTCAGAGTATTAGGCCTTCACATTGGCATTCATATCCAGGAACCTGACACGTGGCAATTCGCTGAGTGCGGCAGGTGCATTGAGATGTGGGTGCCACCGCGTCCTGGGAGCTGCAGTGCAGTCCGTTTGTGGGCTGCGATGCAGCCACTGCAGCCGGGAATGGAGTCACAGCAGACGGACTTCGGCTTTGCTCTCTTCCTGCTGGATGGCTTTCTCATCTTGGGGCCTTCTGTTTGCTTCTCTTTGCAGGTTCTTAAGTGGGAAGTGGAGTTGATGGCCAGGATGGCAAAAACCATTGACAGCTTCACGCAGAATCAGACGAGGCTTGTGGTAATCATCGATGGCTTGGATGCGTGTGAGCAGGACAAGGTCCTCCAGATGCTGGACACGGTGTGTTTGAATCTTGGAACTCCCGCTGGCTGCTGTGTGGCCGGCAGAGGGTGCCCGACTTCAGATACTGCAGAGAGGGGAAATGGCCTGGCTGCTGTGTGGCCAGCAGAGGGTGCCCAACTTCAGATACTGCAGAGAGGGGAGCTGGCCTTTCTGATCTGAATTGTACTTGTCTCTCCTGTGATTATGCCTTTAAAAACTTTTTTAAAATGTGGAAACATAGCAAGAGTAAATGTTTTGTCACAAAGATATTTAAGTAACTTTAGCTGAATGGCAGGACAAAGCAGCGAAGTATTTCCTGGATGTTGTGGGGTGAGACGCTGAGAGCCGTCAACAGTTTCTGTGACAGTGCATGCTTGGGTGGCTCTCCCGAGGGCGGTTCCAAGCAGGGCTCTGTGCCTGGGGCAGGCACCCATGTGGCCAGAACCTTGCTCTCCGGCCCTGTGCTCTTCTACAGCTTGTAGATGTTTTAAGGAAGGTACAGTGTGTAGGTTTTGGCACTGGCAGGTGGCTGTAGATTCAGATCGAACCATGAATAAGCTTTGTTTTCATTTGGAATGCATTTTGATTAAAGAAAAATAGCACCTTATGGTCCCTACAGGGAAGCACACATTTCAGGGGGACATCTCCCTATTTCAGATAATTTAAATTTTGTGCCACAGCTAATCATTGCTTCTACCACAGGTCCGAGTTCTGTTTTCAAAAGGCCCGTTCATCGCCATTTTTGCAAGTGACCCGCATATCATTATCAAGGCAATTAACCAGAACCTCAATAGCGTGCTCCGTGACTCCAACATCAATGGACACGACTACATGCGCAACATCGTTCACTTGCCTGTCTTCCTCAACAGTCGTGGCCTCAGCAGTGCCAGGAAGTTCCTTGTGAACTCAACAGCAAATGGGGATATTCCATGTCTGGACCCCACGGGTAAAGACCAGGCTCCCACCTTGCTTTCAGTTTGAAGTAGCTGACCTGCAGTATAATTTGAAACATATTCCTGGTATTTTGTTTCTGTCTAACTGTTGTATACAACAGAATTGTAGTGCAAATGGTGCTCTCTTGATCCATTCTTTAAGGGATGCAAGAAGATATTGACAGAAGAGTTTCACAGAACAGCCTTGGAGAGCTGACAAAACTCGGCAGCAAGACCGCCCTCAATAGACGGGTAAAATGCTGTGTGATTTGAGTGGTATTTTTTGTTTAAGGTTTATTTTGTTATTTATGTGTTTATTTGAAAGGCAGAGTGACAGAGATGGAGAGAGGAGAGAAACCAGCTTCTGTCTGCTGGTTTATTCCCTAGATGACCAGCCTAGGGCAGGGCCAGGCTGAGTCAGGAGCCAGGAATTCCGACCAAGTCTCCCAAGAGGGTGATGGTGCGTAAGTCCTTTGCCTCCTTGCCTGGTGTATTAGCAAGGCACTAGATCAGAAGTGGAGCAGCCAGGACTCAAAACAGCACTCTTGGTATGGGGTGCCTTCATTGCATGCAGTAGTTTAACCCACCACAGAGCTCCAGTCCCTGGAGCTACAAGTTTGCAATGCAGTTATTCAGGTAAATTAAGGCAATGCCATCTGATCAGTGTTAGGATTACATGAACTTTTCAAATAAGCATTGCTGAGTTTCCCTCCAGCTTCAGGTTGTAGGGAATGCCTGCTCATGGGGCCGTAGCAGCCTCATGGTGTGTGGGAGTCCCAGCCCTCCCAGCCCGTCTTCAGCCCATGTGCTGCCCGGCCCCAGGCTGAGTGAGTGGGCATCCCCAAGGGGAGTGTCTGCAGCCCATCCACATTACGTCCTGTCTGCGCCTGGTGCTACCACGGCCACAGGGAGAAAATGGCTTGCCGTGGGAATTCATTGTGCCGTGGTGAGTCCCAGCGTGCCGTGGGAGTCTCAGCATGGTCCTCCTGTCAGCTCTCCTCACTCCTGGGTGAGTGGGATGCAGAGTCTGCATCCCTCTGATAATCTGGTGCCCTTCCTGGCTTCCTTGTTTCTCTAACATGTTGGTTGTCCCCCAGCCTGTCGGTGTGTTCAGGTAAGTAAGGTAGGTGAAGCCACCTGCTGGGGAGTTGGGATTGTGCTGCTCAGTGACAACTGCCTTGGAATAGCATTGGCATTATGTTTTTTTTCTGGTTTGCTGTCATTGACTTTGGATATTTTATTTCTTAAGAACTGTGTGCCAGGGCTGATGTTTGGCTCAGCAGGTACAGGTGACGTATCCCATATCAGCGTGGCTGAGTTCGAGTCCCAGCCCTACTCTGACTCCAGCTTCCTGTCAGTGTGTACCCCGGGAGGCCTCAGGTGCCTGCGCTGGCCACTCGGTGCCTGTTGCGTTCCCAGGCTCCTGACTGGCCTGCACCGGCCTGGCTGCTGGGGCACTTGGGGAGTGAACAAGGTCAATGGAAGAGCCTACACTGTCAGTCATTCTCTGTGCCTTTCAGATAGATTTCTCAAAAAGGTATCTTTAGTAAAATTTGATTTTATAATTGTAAATACAAAGTTGATATGATGAATGACAGTTTAAAACTGTTTACTATCTTTTTTTTTTTTGAAAAGTGGAGCTACAGAAAGAGACAGATGCAGAGAGATCTTCCATCTGCTGGTTTACTCCCCAAATACTTGCCTCGCTGGGGTGGATCAGGCCCAAAGCAGAAGACCAGAACTCGGTGTGGGTCTCCCATGTGAGCCATTACCTGCTGCCACTCAGGGTGCACATTAGCAGGGAGCTGGGATCGAGAGGGGCTGGGACCTCAACTCAGGCACTCCCAGAGGGAGTGTGGACTTGCCGAGTGGCATCTTATGTGCTGCCCCAAACACCTGTCCTGATGCATGGCAGTTGGCAGCACTACATTCAGAGGAGTGTAGGATTTGCCATGCTAGATTTCTTTCCTGGGAGAATGTCTCGGGCAGCCCATGGATGCATTCGCCTTTCCCTTGCTTCAGGACCTGAGAAGGGGACCCACACTTGTTTTGGCTGTGCCTCCTGTTAGGGGATGGAATTCTTTAGCCCACCTAGCCCAGTCTAGCCCAGTGCAGCCTGGTCTAGCCTGGCCCAGCCTGGCCCAGCTGACTCAGTCTAGACTGTAAACCAGCGGGTGGAAGAGCTATGTGTACATATCTGTTGCTTTCTGCTTTTTAAATAACTTTTGAAAGAATGCCTCTTATGGCGATGTGAGCACAGTAGCCATACATTGTTAAATAGCTTGAAAGTCAAATGCTGCGTCCAGAAAAGCAGTCAGGGTTTGTCTACTTTATTTTAGGGTTTCTGGAAACCCAAAGCCTGCGTAGAGTTTGGGTAGAGTACTGTTTACACAGTCTGCCTAGCTGGAGTGTTAAAGGCCCTGAGCTTTCTGTGTCTACACTGATGTCGTGCAGAGCGTGTTTGGAGCCAGATCACGGCACTTGGCACTGACGTTTCTAACTGCATGGCGATAGTAATGCTTTAGTGCTGTTTCGTCTTCCTCTGTGTCTGCAATTTTGGATATTTTGTTGAAAGCATTCAGTAACAGCTTACCAAGCCTCAGGTTCTCAGACGTGGGGTGTGAGATCACGGTCATTGCCGTTGCACCGTTGCAGGTTCTCAGGCGTAGGGTGTGAGTTCATTGTCATCGCCATTGCTGTTGCAGGACACTTACCGGAGGCGGCAGATGCAGCGGACCATCACCCGGCAGATGTCCTTCGACCTCACGAAGCTGCTGGTCACCGAGGATTGGTTCAGTGACATCAGTCCTCAGACCATGAGGAGGCTGCTGAACATCGTTTCTGTGACAGGTGACTGGTAGAGCGTGAGCTTGGCCCTTGGCACAGCACGTCTGATTTCAGCAGCACGTAGCTGTGTCTACGAGCCTGCGTGGCTGCATCCAACTTCGTGTTGGCTCAGGGTGTCGGTTGAAGTCAGCATGGCTGGAGAATCCTCATTTAATTGGAACCAGAGGTGGTTCCAAGTTTGGAGCTTTGTGGATTTGGGAGTATTTGTAACCCCTGGCTGAGCGTCCTGGTTGGAGGGTGCCAGCTGACAGTACTGGAGAGGCCTCGGGCTCATCAGGGCGAGTGGACGATTTGTGTCATTGTAGGCGGTGTTGAGCCCTGTGACAGTGAGGTTCTGATTTGTGCCTGAATGTGTAGGAGGAAGGTAATGTAGATCAGGAGTAACAAACCAAATGGAAACTTGACCTTGAACTGAACAGTTGTTTGAGCCCTGGAAGCTTTACAATGTAAGCCTTCAGCTTTTGGATGCCACATCAATACTAGATTTGAATTTCTGGTATGACTTAAAAAGACAAAATTTTGAAGTTTAGAGGGAAATTATTTGTAGCTCTATTAGATATTTCACTATACAATTACACATCTATGAATTTTAAAATGCTCTCTCTTCATCAAGGGCGATTACTGAGAGCCAATCAGATCAGTTTCAACTGGGACAGACTTGCCAGCTGGATCAACCTGACGGAGCAGTGGCCCTACCGGACTTCCTGGCTCATTCTCTATTTGGAAGAAACCGAAGGGGTGCCCGATCAGATGACGCTGAAAACCATCTATGAAAGGTATGTGGAGCTTTCTGCTTTAACCTTGGGTTGAATTTATTATTTTTAAAGATGTCTTTAAGTCTTTGAAAGGCTGAGTGACACAGACAGCTTCTTCCATCTGCTGGTCCATTTCCCATTTATTTAAATGAAATGTTAAGTCTAACAGTGTATTTATCATTTAGTTCACATGCCAAGGCTTTATGAGGGCAGGTGGTTCTTCCCTTGGGCATTGTCAGTTTTCTGTGTATGGGTTTTGTTTAACTTCTGCTAAGCGCTGGGCTCAGTCTGGGGGATGGCTGTTGGTTGGTGTGCATACCCCAGCCCTTCCTGGGCGCCGCTGCTTGTGTGGCAAGGAGACGCTCCGGTGGCTGCTGCAGCCCACTCCCACAGACCTGTGGAGACGGGGTGGGGGTTCATCTGGTCTTGAGTATGCGTAGTGAAAAATGAAATCTGATTTCCTGAATAAACATGTGCAGTGCAGCGCAGGTGCTGTGTGATCTGAGTGCTTACTTGGAGAGCACGGTTACTTTCAGTGAAGTTTACCTCTTCAGAGTGATTTGTGTCAGTGTGGTGTGGTTTGTTTTTCACATGGCATGCTTAGACCAAAAGCCCTCTAGTCATAAGTGGTAGGTCTTCAGTCTCATTTATTCATGAAAAATTTTTGTTGCTGGTTTTTGCTTCTAAATGAAAATGTCTAAGAAAAAGATAAGCCTTTATTTAGGAGGCCAGCTGGGTTTGAAGTCAGGAAGCCTTCGAGTAGCACGAAGAGAGGCTGTGAGAACGGCTGTGCGTCGCTGGGGGCCGCGTCAGACCCTCGGGCTCTGCCTGCCGTCCCTCTGGCGTCATGGAGTTAGTGTTTCTCTAGGAATATGCTCGTGGGTTCCATGGAATTGATTTTCCCATGGTGCCCTCCCCTTTCTTCCTCGGTGTCAGCAGATGCGTTAGTACCCCTGGAATTGTCGCAGCTCTAAGAGAGGTGGTGTGCATGGCTTGGAACAAGGAAGGCTGAGGTTCAGACAGTTCCAGGAGTTCCACTGCCGTCCAACTCTTAGGGAGCAGGTCCGTCCTGCTGCGTGCACTGTCCGTGTGCTGGCGCTATTGTGGGCCCGCGGCCTTGAACTGTCGCTCACAGCTGTGTTGTTATCCCTGGTTTGCACATTGGCCTCCTGCAGTCCGGGGAGGGAGGCCACGGGCTGGGAGCAGTGTTGGCACTGGCAGGGGGTGGGGCACATCAGCCCCCATCCACGTTCGCACACAGGTGTCCATGCACGTCCCAGAGTGCGCAGGCCTCTCCGAGCTACGGCACTGTCAGAAGTACCTAAGAAACTGATGTTTGCATGTTAGTATGTTTGTTATTCAAGAGACATAATACAAATTATTCTCATTAATCCTAACAACAGTCTGTATGGCTTTTTTGCAACTTTAATGTAAACATCAGTTTTCCCTGTTTAACATGAACAGTTACCGCCTTGTTCAGTTCTTTAAGGGACAGTCAGGCAGCTAGTGCATGTCTGCGTCTGGGGTGTCTGGGGAGGTCTGGGGGAGGTCTGGGGGGCCCGGGGGTCTGGGGGGGTCTGCAGCCCTCTGCTGCCCTGCCCTGCACACTGTGTCACAGTGTGTCGCTGGGGACTGGGCACGGGAGTTCCAGGGCCAGCCCTGCTTGTTCTGGAAAGCAGTGGGGAGGAGAAAGGAAAGCAGGAGAAGGAGGGATGCCAAAATAAACCAGAGTTGAAAGGCCCCGCAGACAACCCTATATTTGAGCTTCGTGAAGCACTGACTGCGTGTAGGCCTTGCTGTAGACACTGGCCATCTAACCATTTGACTCTGATGTTCTGGAAAAATCAGGGCAAGAAGGGCTCAGGACCTTCCTGTGTCCCTGTGAGTGGCCTGTCTCCTCGTGGTGACTCTTGATTAGCGCATCTAGAGGCTGGGTGTTTATAGGAGTCACGGTGTCTGCAGCTGGTCTTCATATCTGTGTGGGATGCAGGGGCTGGCCAGGAAGGTGGGGTGAAGACAGGCACTCATACAAAATCATGAATTTTCAAGAGAAGCTTGCATATTTAACTTTTCTATTTGAAAATACTTTCACACTTACTGAAACGCTGTCCGAGTGAGAGTGCCAAGAGCACCCATGTACCTTTCCTCCAGTTTGGTCTCCTGATAACATGGCAACTCACTCCCCAAGCTGAGCCGATCTGAAGCCAGGAGCCAGGAGCCAGGAGCTTCTTCTGGGCCTCCCACGTGGGTGCATGTCCCCAGGCTTTGGACCATTCTCCACTGCTTTCCCAGGTCACAGGCAGGGAGCTGGATGGGAAGTGGAGCAGTCCCTAGGGGTATCAGCACTGCAAGGCAGAGGAATAGCCGGTTGAACTGTAGCACAGGTACCCAAGTAATGTTTGCGGGAGAACATTTTAAGTAAATATGAAGTGTTACATATTGTAGGTGTCGGGAGGACATGGTAACCGCTGTCCATTGCTCTGGTCACAGCGCTCAGTGGGCTTGCCATCCACGTGAGGGTTGGTTTCATGCGACCCGCGGGTGCCGTTTCCTAGAGTGAGAAGTATGCCTGTGTGTCTGCACTGCTTGCTAGTCCAAGGGAGAGAAAGGGCAGTGGAGCAAGAACTCTTGAGAATTTGTAAGAACGTGACTTAGAATGACTTGGAATGAAAACTGTAAGATGACAAACTGTTGGATCAAACTATTGGAAAGCAGATATTGGCATGTGTTAGAGTGGATCAGTGATTATTTTTAGTCCACCACAGTCGGGTTCTTTGGTGCTATTGCTTGACATTTGAATAATAAAGTTTTATTTACAGCGGACAAAAAAGTAGCAGCATATAATTGATATTCATTTACTTTATTAAAGAAGTTGATTTGGTAAAAACAATCAGAAAATAGTATTTTTAATGCTAGTCATAAAATTTATTTTTTTAATCTGTAAAAAGCCTCATTTATTTTTATAGCAATTTGATGACACATCTGCTTGCTTTATTCAGTTGAAAAAGAAAATGTTGGTTCTTGATGTTTGCTAAAATTGGTTTGTTAAATTATTTTCCAAATTGTTCAACTTTTAACAAATGACATTTGATACTAACAGTGGAAAGCAATCCCAGCTAATTAAGTAGATCCCTCTAGATGCCATAGGGACATTACGATGACATACTGTTCATTCAAGATTATTTTAATTGGTACAATTATTGTAATTTTCTTGCAATTATGTGTTGAGCTAAAAGCTTTTGTCTAGATCATTTGTGGGTTTTTTTTTGTTAACGTACGTTTAGGAAGAAGAAAAGGAGCAAAATGAAACTACAGATAAAAAATTTTATCTACTTTTTATTACAGCATTAGAGATAACCATTGAAATATCTTAGTATAGAGCTTTAGTTTTGATATGTTAAGCATTTTCAGCAGTGACAGAGTTTAAAAGATGAAGATAATGTTTTGAATGTCTGTTTTGGCGTTACTCAAGGAGCCTGCGCGTGGATGACTCGGTCAGAATCGGTTTGTGGTGAGGATAACAGAACAGCTTGTTTTCTTTTGCTGTATTTTGAATTTTTTTTCAAAACAATTGAGCAAATTTTTAGGGAACTTAAGAATGATAGCCATGTTTCATTTCATGGAAGCAGCTGTGAATAAAAGTTATGGCTGTCTAATTTATGATTTACATAGTGCTGTCTGGTCGCTTTAAACTGTTCAAACAGTGGTATTTCTGTGCATTGGTTGACATTTTTCATACCAGAACATTCCATCTGAGGATACTCTTCTGATGTTAACGTGACGAGCACCACCATGCCCGTCAGCGCCTGTGTCTCGCTATGCTCCCTGCACTCCCTCCTGGCTTCAGGTTGTTAGTGATGGTTAGTGCACAATCCCCCACCCATCTTTCGGCCTAGATTGTTTCTTTGCATGTGGATCAAAGTTGTGGATTGGGATCGCATGAAGAATTGGACATTAGACAAGTAAAAAAGTTGTCTCATCCCTCTTGCTTTGCAGAATGTACCCTTTGTACTGACGGTGCTAATTTTAAGATACTGGAAATATTTATTCTAAACATTGTTGCATGTTTGATTTGGCTGGTAATTTTTTATATTTGCTTCTTATTTAAAAGATAGACATAAACAGGCAGGCACTGACAGGCAGAGAAAGATTTTTCTAGCTGTTGCTCCCTTCTCTCTCTCTCCCCGCACAGCTGGAGTGGGCCAGACGCAGGCCAGGGTTCCAGAACTCCATCTGATTGAACTCCCTGAGCCTGTCATGGTGCACGTTAGCAGGAAGTTGGGATTGGGGCTGGAGCTGGTGCTGAAGCCCAGGTGGTGGGATTGGCCACGGGCAGCCCAGCAGCTTGGCCGCCGCTGGGTCCAGACCTACCTGCTTGTGGGTCTCCGTGGTACTCTGTGACCTCCCTGTGGGTGCTGTCACCATTCAAGATTTATTACCATCTTATTTGTAATTGTTGTTGTATCAAACACACTTGCCCTGAATGTGAAGGTGCAGTCTTTTATCAATGTTTTTTTTTCTTTTTGAAGAGTTAGCTGTTTATGCAAACACAAGATAATTTCCATATAAGACATGAACCAAAGTAGGTTTGTTCTGAAATTAAGATTATGTAGCCTGTAGTAAAAAACATATTTTATCAGACTAAAAACAAGTAACACTGGATTATTTGCCAAGTTTAATGTGAAGAGTGCACCTGTAAAACCCTTGGCAAACATCCGTGGAGTCAGAGGCAGTGTTGGCAGTGAAGTGCGCATCCCTGGTTTTGAACTGTTTATTTTTTATTCATTGTTAATACATTAATTGGAAACCTCATATTTCTTTTTTTTAGATTCTTAAATTTTTTTGCTATATTATTTTTTTTATTGATTACATTGCATTATGTGACACTGTCTCATAGGCTCTGGGATTCCCCCAACCCCTCCCCATACCCTCCCCCCATGGTGGATTCCTCCACCTTGGTGCAGTATTACAGTTCAAGTTCAGTTAAGATTCTTTCATTACAAGCATAGAGTCTAACATCC